AAATTGTGTCACCTTTGTCATTTAGTTCAAAGAATCTTTTGATTTCCATCTTGATTTCCTCGTTTATGAAGTGATCATTGAGAAGGTTGTTTAGTTTCCGTCACTTTGTGTAGAAATGAGGATTGATTTCTACATTAATTCCATTGTGGTCTGAAAAGATACATGGTATAATTTCTATTTTTAAAAATTGTTTAAGACATGCTAGTGTCCTAGGATATGGTCAGTCTTAGAGAATGACCCATGAGCTGATGAAAAGAACATATATTCAGTAATTTTGGGTAGAATGTCCTGCATATGTCAGTCAGGCCCATTTGTTCTAGAGTTTTGTTTAACTCCATTATTTCTTTGTTCATTTTCTGTTTGAAGGATCTGTCCTGTGCTGTCAGTGGGGTGTTAAAAGTCTCCAACTATTATGATGTTGTTGTTTATCCATTTGTTGAGATCAAGTCGTGTTTGATTTATGAATGTGGGTGCACCAAGGTTGGGTGCATATATATTTAGAATTGTTATGTCTTCTTGTTGAACTGTACCCTTCACCATTATATAGTGACCTTCTTTGTCTTTTATTACTTTTATTGATTTAAAAACTAAGTTATCTGTAATAAGCACCGCCACGCCAGCTTTCTTTTGGCTTCTGTTTGCTTGAAATATTCTTCTCCACCCCTTTACCTTTAGTCTAATTGCATCCTTGCAGGTTAGATGTGTTTCCTGAAGGCAGCAGATACTTGGCTTGTGTTTTTTTATCCATTTGGCCAGCCTATATCTCTTGAGTGTGGAGTTCAAGCCATTCACATTTATTGAGATAACTGATAGGTGGGGCAGATTTCTGTTCATTATGTTGGGTTGAACTTTGTTGCTTTGTTTTCTCTCTTGAGCCATTGTGGTATCTGGCCTTTGATCTTTAGCTTTGAGTAGATTTACATTTGCGAATGTTTATTGTGCTGATCCATAGGTAACACTGTTTTGAGTACTTCTTTTTTTTTTTTTTGAAACAGAGTCTCACTTTGTTGCCCTGGCTAGAGTAGAGTGAGTGCCCTGGCGTCAGCCTAGCTCACAGCAACCTCAAACTCCTGGGCTCAAGCAATCCTGCTGCCTCAGCCTCCCGAGTAGCTAGGACTGCAGGTATGCGCCACCATGCCCGGCTAATTTTTTTTCTATATATATTAGTTGGCTAATTAATTTCTTTCTATTGATAGTAGAGACAGGGTCTCACTCTTGCTCAGGCTGGGATTGAACTCCTGACCTTGAGCAATCCACCCGCCTCGGCCTCCCAGAGTGCTAGGATTACAGGCGTGAGCCACCACGCCCAGCCTGTTTTGAGTACTTCTTAAAGGGCTGGTCTTCTCTTGGTGAATTCCCTCAGTCTTTGCTTATCTCAGAATGTCTTGATTTCTCCTTCATATACAAAACTTAGTTTTGCAGGGAATAAGATTCTAGGCTGGGCATTGTTGTTTCAGAAGAGTGAGAATGGGGCCCCAGTCTCTCCTTGCTTGTAAAGTCTCAGTAGAGAAATCTGGCATTATTCGGATTGGCTTTCCTTTGTATGTTACTTGCTTCTTTCATCTTACAGCTCTTAGAAGGGCCTCTTTAGTTGATATTTTGGTCAGTCTGATGACTGCATGTTGGGACGTCTTCCTATTTGCATTGAATCTTCCAGGGGTCCTCTGAGCTTCTTGAACTTGTAGCTGGAGATTTTTAGCAAGGCTTGGGAAATTTTCCTGTATTGTATCTTCAAATAGCTTGTCCAACCCTTGGGTGTTTTCTTCTTCCCCTTCTGGCAACCCTATGACCCTCACATTAGGTTTCTTCACATAATCCCACATCTCTTGTAGGCTCTGCTCTTTTCTGTTGTTTCTCTGCTCTATCTCTGTGACTGATCTATTTAATTGGAAGGTGTTATCTTCCATCTCTGAGATTCTTTCTTGCGTTTGATCTACCCTGTTCTTGAGGCTTTCCACTGTGTTTTGTAGTTCCCTGAATTGATTCTTCATTTCCAGGAGTTCAGTTAAACTTTTGTTCATTGTATCAATTTCTTTAGTGAACTTTTGTTCCAGGTCCTGGGGGCTTTTTGTGTTTTCTTTGTGTTGGTTATCCAGGTGTTCTTGCAGGTTGTTGAATTTTCTTATGATCCACATTTGAAATTCCTCTTCTGTCATTTTGATTGCCTGATTTTGGTTGGTGTCTATTTCTAAGGGGCTGTTGCTCCTCTTTGGGGGTGTGTTTTCCATTTGGTTCTTCGTATTTCTGGAGTTCCTTCACTGATTTCTTCCCATCTGGATCAGTTGTTGCTTCTTTCCTTTAGGTTTTTGTTTGGGTATTCACATGCCTTGTTTAGTCTCTGAGCCGTTAGGTGGTATCTGTGGGTGAGATTCGACCACTCCCTGTATAATGAGTCAGTAGGTGCCGTGAAAAGGATGAAAGCACGGATATATTTCTGATATTCTATCCAGTCTCATCCTTGGAGAGGAGGAAGCACCATGGTGGACCAGAACCACTGGAAAGGGCAAGGACTGCTCTGTGACCATCGGCACGGCCCTGAGGCCACAGTAGGAAGAGTTTTGTTTCATGGGCAACAGCTGGTAATAGAAGCAACAAAATAAGAACTAAGGACAAAAAGACATTTAGTGGGAACTTATAAAGGAAGACCTTCCCCATTCATTACCAATTATTAAGTATTTGTTCAGGGTTAGGCCTGGTCCAGTGTCTTGGGAAATGGTTACCTCAGATGTCATTGTCTTATCCTTGTTGGTTCTGAAGAATTTCAGTTTCACATCACTAGTTTGATATGAAGTCCAAATTGGTGAAGCAGCTTTCTTTAAATGTATGACGTGTATCCAGGAATTGACTCCTTTTAGCTTAGCGGCACAAGGGTCGATTAGGAGCACCTGACAAGGTCCCTTCCACCTTGGCTGGAGAGAGTCCTTTAAAAGATGCTGTTCCCAGGCCGGGCGCGGTGGCTCACGCCTGTAATCCTAGCTCTCTGGGAGGCCGAGGCGGGCGGATTGCTCAAGGTCAGGAGTTCAAAACCAGCCTGAGCAAGAGCGAGACCCCGTCTCTACTATAAATAGAAAGAAATTAATTGGCCAACTGATATGTATATAAAAAATTAGCCGGGCATGGTGGCGCATGCCTGTAGTCCCAGCTACTCGGGAGGCTGAGGCAGAAGGATCGCTGGAGCCCAGGAGTGTGAGGTTGCTGTGAGCTAGGCTGACGCCACGGCACTCACTCTAGCCTGGGCAACAAAGCGAGACTCTGTCTCAAAAAAAAAAAAAAAAAAAAAAAGATGCTGTTCCCACCTGACAAAGTCTGGTTGAAGTCTATGGTCCTTGAGTGTTTGTTTCTCGGGAGCACACTGTGGAAAGAGTAAATTACGGTTTCTAGTTAGCTGCCTTTAAAGGTCTCTGCAATGATACAACATAGCCCCTTTTGATATAATAGAGTCACAATTTCCTTGAGACAGTTGCATAGGTCTGCCTGTTATAATTTCGTAAAGAGACAGTTGGTATTTACCAAAAGGCCAAAAGGGGTCAATCTTTAGGTTAAGCAAAACCAATGGAAGAGCTTTTGGCCAAAGAATTTTAAAAACCTCGGTTAATTTTACCAGTTGAGTTTTGATTAGTCTGTTTGTTCCACTCACCCAGATAACTGGTGGCAATAGGTACAATGGAGGACATTAGAGAAAGGACCAGATTTTCCTTACTGACTGGGTAGCAGAAGGAGGGCTGAGGACAGGGGAAGTAAGTATGGTCAAGGAAGTTCTGACAAAAGAGAGGGAGAAGCCAAAGGAGGGGGAGAATTTTTGGCAGTCTTTTTTAATTTAGAAATTGCTTTAGACAATCTTTTGTTCTCCTCTTGCAAAGAAATGACTTTATCAGAACCTCTTTTATAAGCTTGTAAGTGCCACTGAAAATAACTCTCCCTGTTATTTTATTTTAGAACTGTTTTTTTTTTCCTGCACTCAAATGCTCTACCCTGAGCTACACCCCCAGCTTTTCCTGATTGAACAAGTAGATAAACTAATTTAGGTATTTCAGAGGTACCCCATTAGGGTCATTGTAATTTGGGGCCTTTGCAAGTTATGTGAGACTATTTTTCTAAATATTTGCTTAAAGAGGTGCTTTAAGTATTAAACATAAATTCAGATGGAGTTTCTTTTTTTTTTTTTTTTTTGGAGACAGAGTCTCGCTTTGTTGCCCAGGCTAGAGTGAGTGCCGTGGTGTCAGCCTAGCTCACAGCAACCTCAAACTCCTGGGCTCAAGCAATCCTGCTGCCTCAGTCTCCCAAGTAGCTGGAACTACAGGCATGCACCACCATGCCCGGCTAATTTTTTCTATATATATTATTTGGCCAATTAATTTCTTTCTATTTATAGTAGAGATGGGGTCTCACTCTTTCTCAGGCTGGTTTCGAACTCCTGACCTTGAGCAATCCGCCTGCCTTGGCCTCCCAGAGTACTAGGATTACAGGCGTGAGCCACTGTGCCCAGCCCAGATGGAGTTTCTAATGGTGGGTTTCTCCTTCAGGGGGAAGGCTTGGTTTTAGAGATACAATTGCCCATAATTTAGATTTTCTTTACTGAATGACCAGAAACTTACTGTGTTTTGGATTGAGTATATTGCTTATAGGAGTGGCTCCTCAAGGTATCACCTTGGAGTAATTTTTTTACCTCCTATGTGTCTCCTTGATCCCAAGAAACTTGGGTGCTTAAGGGACCAGGTAATCAACCTTTCTGTGTGACCAACGGACTAAGCAGGATCCCCTGTATGCTTTTCTTTGACATTACAAGCAATAGGCTCCAACACTCCCTCAAGACCTTTGTCACTTCTTTGGTCACTTGAGAAGAAAGTTTAGATTCATCAATTGAACTGAGCTTCAAATTCTGGCCTTTTTTTTTTTTGAGACAGAGTCTTGCCCTGTTGCCCAGGCTAGAGTGCCATGGTGTCAGCCTCACTCACAGCAACCTCAAACTCCTGGGCTCAAGCAATCCTCCTGCCTCAGCCTCCCAAGTAGCTGGGACTACAGGCATGTGCCACCATACCCAGGTAATTTTTTCTATTTTTAGTTGCCCAACTACTTTTCTTTCTATTTTTAGTAGAGATGGGGTCTCGCTTTTGCTCAGGTTGGTCTTGAACTCCTGAGCTCAAACAATCCTCCTGCCTTGGCCTCCCGGAGTGCTAGGATTATAAGCGTGAGCCACTGCACCGCGCTTCTGGCCAATTTTATTTATTTATTTATTTATTATTATTTATTATTTATTATTTATTATTTATTTATTTATTTATTTATTTTCCCTGGGGCTCCATTTTATTTTATTTATGTATATATATATTTTTTTATTTCAGCCTATTATGGGGGTACAAATTTTAAGGTTTCAATAAATGTCCTTCCCCCCCTCCACAAGTCTGAGTTTCCAGCATGACCATCCCCCAGATGGTGCACATCTCACTCATTATATATGTATATACCCCCCTCCACCTGCCCAATACCCTATTACTGTAGTGCCTATGTGTCCACTTAGGTGATACTCAGTTAATACCAATTTGCTGGTGAGTATATGTGGTGCTTGTTTTTCCATTCTTGGGATACTTCACTTAGTAGTATGGGTTCCAGCTCTAACCAGGAAAATATAAGATGTGCTATATCACCGTTGTTTCTTAGAGCTGAATAGTACTCCATGGTATACATATACCACATTTTATTAATCTTTTGATTGATGGGCACTTGGGCTGTTTCCACAGCCTTGCAATTATGAATTGTGCTGCTATAAACATTTGAGTGCAGGTGTCTTTTTTGTAGCGTGTCATTGGATCTTTTGGGTAGATGTTCTGGCCAATTTTAAAGATAAATTATTTTTGCTTAAGTCACAAAGATTCATTTCCCCCTTTCAGAAAGAAAATGTTTTCCTCTGATCAAAATTACAAACAAGAGAAAAGGCTGTAAAAATTCTAACAAGTAATTCCAAACAAAACCTCAGAGAAAAGTGAAAAATCACAAATTCACAATTAGGAAATCTCTAGGGAATAGCAAACACTATTCCTACCTTACAGCAGAGGTTCAATTCTAATCCCGTCAAGTTAGGAGTGTGTGTAGCTCGAATGAAGTTGGAACCCTCAAGCAAGCCTGGGTGGATTCAGACCCAGGGGGCCTTACTGGAGATCCCGTGGACTCTGGCCAGGTAGAAGAATGAGCCATTCCTGATGAATGTAGCCATTCAGCAAAGCTACAGGGATTGCTGGAGGTCCACTTTGGTCCCTTCATTGGTTGTCAGAATGTCTTCCTTAAATAATGAGATTTAGAAAATAATGGCTAAGTATAGAGTTTATTCTAGTGCAGAGCTTGAGGATGGCCACCTGGGGAAAGCACCAACTCCAAATGCATGGGGTCAGCATTTCTATACTGGAGGAGTTAAGGTGTCACTTAGGCAGAAACAGAGAAGTTCCAGCAGGATGATATGTTCCATGCAAGACCAGGTGCACACACCGCAGGGGATTTGGTTGGCTGCATATTGCTACATTCTAAGGAAGATTACTTTATTACACTGTACGGAGGGGTAGTAATCTGAGGGGATCTTTATTTTGGGTGCTATTTGGTCTTAATTATTTACAGGAAAAAAGACAGAAACTGCAGCTGCATGTCATGCAACTAAGGTTGCATAGCCACATTCCTTCATGGCTCATGATAATTTAAAGTCCCAACAGCTTTAAATTTGAATTATTTTATTTTATAAACCTTAGTGTCTATTTGGCATAACTGTACCTACCTCATAGGGTTGTTGGGATGATTAAATGAGTTAATTTTTATAAAGATTATAAAGTGCTTTATAATTATAAAGTGCTCAGGACACAGAACTTTAGATTTTTTTTAAAAAAAGTTTTCCTCTACATAGTTGCATCAAATGTGTGAGTTTTCCACATCAAGCAATTCTCCAGTTCTCTGCAGACATCAACTGCCCCCCACTTCTGATGCCAATTTCAATTTTTTTTTGGTTGATAGATTATTTTATTAACAGTCAAAAAACTTCACACTTACAATAGGAAAATAAATGTTTCTTCAATCACTAATTAAATGAAAACTATCCAGGACCTTATAGGATTTTTAGCACGTACTAGGTTTGATACACATCTTAGAAAAGGCTATTAGCTTGCTGACATCATTAGGGCATGATCAGTATAATGATCCTGTTTTACTTTTTGCAAGCCACATATCTTTCAGTTACGTTCTCCCAGTTGATCACATTCCAAATAGCCTTCAGGTAATCAGGCCTGACATTCTTGTACTGAAGGTAGTGAGCACATTCCCACACGTCAGTGCCCAGCAGTGGAATGGGACCTGTTGTTCCTTGCAATGGATCCTGGTTAGGACAATTCAATTGTTCTACAATTCAATTCTGATATTACCTGGAGTTAATGCGAACTCCACTAAGGGCTCGGTCCCCCAAGACTGCCCCCCACTTCTGATGCCAATTTCAAGCAGTGGGTCCCCAGGTTACCTACACTTACGTCCGACTTAGCTACAAACTGGGAGTTCCTATGGAACACAGGTTCTATAATTTGTACAGAATTCTGAGAAACATTTTACTACTACAGATATATTGTAAAGCACGGGTCCTCAAAATTTTTAAACGGGGGCCAGTTCACTGTCCCTCAGACCGCTGGAGAGTGCGCACTGTGGTCTCTGAATGATCCGGCTGCTAAGCAGGACAGGCAGCAGCAGCAAAAACACCCGGAGGGCCTGATAAATGTCCTAGGTAGTGGCATGTGGCCCGTAGTTTGAGGACACCTGTTGTAAAGGGTACAACTCAGGAACAGCCAGTGGAGGAGATGCACAGAGCAAGGCATTCGGGCAGGGGCAGCATGGAGCCTCCTGCCGCTCCAGGCATGCCGCCCTCCCCCATCTCGGTGCGGTCACCAGCCCGGAAACTCTCTGGACCTCATCGTTAAGGCTTCTGTGGAGGCCTCGTCACATAGACGTGATTGATCACATCATTGGCTATTGGTGATTAAGTCGATCTTCAGCCTCTCTCCCCTCCCCAGAGGTCAGGGTGGGGTTGAAAGTTCCAACCCCCTAGTGGCAGGGCTGGTTCCCCTGGCAACTGGCCCCGTCCCCCAACGGTCACCTCCTCACAGAAATGCAGGTATCATAGAAAAGGGAGTGTGGGGATTGTGAATAACCAAGATACTTCTTTCATCCTTATTCCGCAGGAAATTTTAAGGGTTTTGGAAGCTCTGTGACAGAACAGGATGAAGACTAGATATATACTTACTATATCACAATATCACAGTGTATAAGAATAATAAAATACAAACTTAATAAAACGCTGTTAAATTTCTTGTTCAAAGTCACAAAGCTAGTCAGTGGAGGAGTCAGGATTCAGCCCCAGGCAGTCTGACTCCAGCCGCTACACTTTAATTATTTCCTTGTTTCTAGAACTGACTTCCTCCGCAAATGACAGAGTCTCAGGTATGGAAAATGTTACAAGTATAGACGCTCCTCAATTTATAATGGGGTTCTGTCCCTATAAACCCATTGTCAGTTAAAAATATAAGTTGATAGATTTCAGTTTCTTGAGCAAAAACGAAAACAAAAAAAGATAAAAATATAAGTTGAAAATGCATTTAACACACCTAACCAAACACCATAGCTTACCCTAGCCTACCTGAAACACGTTCAGAACATTAGCATAAGGCCGAGCAAAATCATCTAACACACAGTGTCACTATCTCATGTAACTTAACTAAATACTGAAACTAAGAAACAAAATGGTTGTATGGGTAACTTGAAGTATGGTTTCTAAAAGTAAAAAAGTGTGAGCTGACACATTATAGGCCAGGGACTGTAATACAGTGAGGGAGACTCTTCATGGAAGACCCTAGAAAACGAAACTTCATAAACTAAGCCAAAAATGGGTGGGAGAAAAAGACTGAAGGTAGAGTGTGAAGAGGCACATAAACTGATCTCTAACAGCCATTCTAACAGGACCTCATGGATGCACTGCGTATGTATATTCTATTCATACAGAGTTAAGGGTTCTTTTTCTTGTTTTGTTTTTTGAGACAGAGTCTCACTCTCTTATCTGGACTATAGTGCCATGGCATCAGCCTAGCTCACAGCAACCTCAAACTCCTGGGCTTAAGCGATCCTCCTGCCTCAGCCTCCTGAGTAGCTGGGACTACAGGCATGTGCCACCACGCCCGGCTGATTTTTTATTTATTTATTTATTTTATTTATTTATTTATTTATTTTTGAGACAGAGTCTTGCTTTGTTGCCCAGGCTAGAGTGAGTGCCGTGGCATCAGCCTAGCTCACAGCAACCTCAAACTCCTGGGCTTAAGCAATCCTCCTGCCTCAGCCTCCCGAGTAGCTGGGACTACAGGCATGTGCCACCACGCCCGGCTAATTTTTTCTGTATATATCAGTTGGCCAATTAATTTCTTTCTATTTATAGTAGAGATGGGGTCTCGCTCTTGCTCAGGCTGGTTTTGAACTCCTGACCTCGAGCAATCCGCCCGCCTCGGCCTCCCAGAGAGCTAGGATTACAGGCGTGAGCCACTGTGCCCGGCCTGATTTTATATATATATATTTTTTTAGTAGAGATGGGGTCTCTCTCTTGCTCAAGCTGGTCTTGAACTTCTGACCTTCAGCGACCTCCCGCCTCAGCCTCCCAGAGTACTAGGATTACAGGCGTGAGCCACTGCGCCCGGCCAAGGTTACTTCTAAAAGCAGTAATTTATTTAAAAAAAAAAACCCTAAAGACCAAACAATAGAATGTTTCCCCATGAGGATCCACACTTACTCCATTAATGCTACTCTGACTCCAAACATTTAGAATTTATTTGGCGTTGTCCTCAGCGTGGATTTTGAGACTCTTACACTTACCTCATGTTGGAGACACATACATACATATTCCCCACCCTATGTACAGCAGCCTGAGCTCCTTGATACCTTTTGCCCATTTTCAAAAATGTAATTCTTCAAGGAATGTGTATTCATCCCCAGAGTGGACATTATAAAGAATGTGCCACAGAGATGCTTGCTAAAGCCAGCTTCTTTACCCTTACAAACATCTATTTTAGGTAGAGATAAATTCTGTCAATTAAAATCACAGCAGAAACACTCCAATCTCAAGGCTACTTCACCAATAAAATATTGCAACCTTTATTTAAAATGAAACACAACTTGGGGCCGGGTGTGGTGGCTCAGGCCTGTAATCCTAGCACTCTGGGAGGCTGAGGCGGGTGGATCGCTCAAGGTCAGGAGTTCAAAACCAGCCTGAGCAAGAGCGAGACCCCGTCTCTACTGAAAATAAATTAATTGGCCAATGAATATATATAGAGAAAAAATTAGCCAGGCATGGTGGCGCATGCCTGTAGTCCCAGCTACTCGGGAGGCTGAGGCAGGAGGATTGCTTGAGCCCAAGAGTTTGAAGTTGCTGTGAGCTAGGCTGACGCCGCAGCACTCACTCTAGCCTGGGCAACAGAGTGAGGCTCTGTCTCAAAAAAAAAAAAAAAAAAAAAAAAACAATGAAGCACAACTTGGCAAACCTTGTGAGACGACAAGCAGAGAGAGCAGTCCCTTTCAAGGGCCTTGTTTATTTATATCAAGTTTAACACTGTTAGCAGTTCACAGTCAGACAACAAAGTGAGAGAATTAAATTAGAAAAACAAAACTGAAAATATATTACAATAACATTAAGAATACCTGACAACACTTGTAGTGTGACCCATGATTGACATATTCTCAGTTCAATCTCATATTGTCCCCTTAGCAATCCACACAGTGCCCAGCACCTCAGCCTCACCTCTGCACAGCACGCACACTTGCAGCGTGTGGCCTTTCGTAGGAACCTTAAACGGGGTTTAAAGAATCTGAATCAGCATGTTTTAGGACAAAGTTCTGTCAACCACCATGAAATGTTCAAACATTTTTAAGTGAGGTTTAATAAAATTGGGGTTTCTCCACTGACAGTCATTAGAGAATCAGGTTTTAAAGAAGGAAAAGTGCAAGGTCAATGAGGGATGGGGTTTCTGAGCATGTGCTAACAGCTCAGGCTGTTCGTGGCCAACACACCAACCACGCTGCCGCCTCTGTTCACCGTAAGTCACGACTTAATTGACTCCTCTTTCACTTACTCCCCCCTTTTTTATGGGCATGCCGACAGTGTATGTATGGACATAAACGTGCACCCTCTATACAGATCTGAGATGGGAGGGCTTTCAAATACATGCTCTAAACTACACAATGCGCATCTCACTGTCCTTTCTAGTTTCTGAATACTAAGTTCCCTGAAGGACAACCAGCTTAATCAAGATGATTTCTCAAGATCTCAGCAAATTCCTCTTATGATGAGTCGGAGTGTCCGCGGTGAGAAATGGCTGTCAAATGGGAGAAAAGCTGGTCAGAGCCTAACCTACCTCAGCATCTGTCTCCTGGCATTCTTGCTACTCAGTACACTCTGCAAACTTCTGAACTGTACAGAACAGCATTTGGGATTTACTACTGATGGCCTTAAAGCACTGCAGGGTCCTGCAATATCTTCTGAAATAAGAATAAATTTATTTGGCATACCTGTGTATCTTTTTTATAATAATTGCTGAAAATTAAGTATCCATATATTTAAAAATTTTATTAACCACGCGTCCCATTCTTCAACTAAATTTCATGGTGCCTAATGACACAATTTAAAACTCCCATTCCGAGGCTTAGAAGCAAATCTAAGCAAGTTCCGGCTACGCAAACTCTCTGTATTTCCTTTTGTGAAGCCCACTAGCGTTTGATAGTTTACCTCCAACATGCACTAAAGGGTTAAGTAGCATGCTCAGAGACCTCAAGCCTTGTGGAAAAGTGGAGTGACATATAGGGCCCAAAATCTGCTGCTGCGAGTACAAGGATGAACAAAGAATCTCACAACAGACAGCACGTATCACAACCCTCCTCCACACACGGTGCGGTCTGAGGACACTGCTGTGCCCAGGCTCTAAAGTAGATGTGCTTTCCCCTTAAACGGCCTGCAGGTTTGAAGACCCACTCAGCATGCTGCCTGCTACCACTGGCCAGTTGACAGGGCTTTGCCACCATGTCCAGGTTACTCAGCAATGGGGGGATTAAACGACACACAATTTTTCTAGGAGAGGTGAACAATTTCAGATGCACAGCTGTCCACACTGCATGTGGGGCAAAGCAGCACGTGCACTTGGAGGAAGGGTTCAGTGACGGCGTCCTCCCCCAGCTCACGGCGCCGAAGTACAGCTGTCTGCCAAATCAGCGCCCTGTGAGGGGAAAACATTTAAAGTGGGGGAATTCTCACTGACGAGGGCTTTGAGGCTCTGCCATCCATGAAGCTCATTTCTACCAGTTCTAGTTCAATGATCATGCAAAATTAACCCAGCTGACATGTCTTTTCCTCCACAAGACTCATGAAACCCATCTTTGAAGGTACAAATCTCTAGGGATGACCTTTGCCACTCCAAGTCAGCTTAGAATTAAGATGACTTGCCACAGGCCTCCTTACCTGGGTTGAAGCAAGAGATCTTACGCCGATCATACGGGGTGAAGCCTTCCCTGATTTCCTGTCCTATGGATCTAGAATACTGAGTCAGAAATGAAGGTGTCATCTTACACACACTCAAGATAGAATATATATCTCAGGCGGGCAGCATGAAAAGCAGCATCCCCAGAACAGAAACTCATCCGTTTGGACATTAAAATAAATTGCACAGAAGGTAGGCTGGCACTACAAGAGTCGCCTGGGTGAATGCTCGGAGCAGGGCGCAGCTCAGAACCCTGACCCACTCACCTGCTCCCCAGTCACAGGAGCAGAGGGGATGGCGCACAGCTCAGGGGGACGGCAGCTGTGCGGAACAGAGCAGGTAACAGTAACCGTTACCCCAGGCATTACTGGCTTGCCAAAAAAAGCAAGCCTTGTATTAATTAGATTTTTTAAAAGTCTACTAGTTGGAAAACTGGAACTTTATCGAAACAATGCAGATATCCTGATTCAGAACCACCCTGAGGCCTCTGCTCTCTCACTAGAGGCTATGGCTTGCAGCATTGTCCCTGGCTTATCAACAGGTCCCCTTGAGCTGCCTTGGTCAGCTAGCCTCAGAAAGAGACAGGCTCCCTTGGAGCTTCCTTTCTGTAGTTCTCTCACACTCCCACATATCCACAATTGAAGGAAGCATGTGCAAAGGAAATGAGCTACTAGCTTGCCAGAAGCTAAGACAGAGATACACAAACAGCTGGAATCTATGAATACTTCAAGAGAGGAAACTTAAGCCCAGAGACCCACCTACATAAAGAGGACTGATCATAACAGATACTTAGGGCATGGAGATGAACCCCAAATCCAGGTGGAGCAAGCTAATGAAAACAAGATGATGAAACTCAAAAATCATTAAGAACAAAAATACAGATAACCCTGTCAACCCAATATGAACCCTTATAGGGACACAACCTGATAATAACAATATCAGTAGCAAAAACAGAAGGGAGTGGGGAGGTCAGAATGATGTGTAGCTATAACTCAACAGTGGACACCAGTGCAATTTACTCTTGAGTATTTTAGTCCAATACATGAATTAAGTTCAGCTACCCTTTTTATTAAAAAAATAAAGATAGATGATAAATGTCAATGCCATTTATAACGGGTAGGAAATCCTAGAAAAGTAATTGCCAAAGTGCACTGCTTCTATGGCCATCCAGCTCCCTCTGTCCCCCGCCCTAGCCCCCAACAACAACAAAATAAACGCCAGCAAAACCACACGGGACATAGGGTTAAAAAGACACTGTCAACATCAACAAGTAACGAGTCTGCTCCCACATTTAGGATAATAAATGGCTGAGCATGTAATGTACAAATGAACAAATGCTCAAGAGTAAGAGGGCCTCATTCTTCTTGAGTCAAGGTCCCTGGAAGAGCTTCTGTATTCTAGAGCACATTACACCTTACTACTTTTTAAAGATCAAAGTTAGCCAAAACGTTGGTCCCTAGTTTTCTGAAGTTACTTAGCTCTGAAGTACAACTTTAGTTGTAGCAAAACACTTGTTATACCTGCACATGTTCATTTAGCAGTTTGATATTTATAAATGTGATAAATTACAGAGGTAATTATATATCTGCATTTTCAGGCGCCCCACAAATAAGTCTTCAGGTCAATTAGCATCTACTCAACTGTTTTATCTTCTAAACAGACATTAATAATACAACCTTACAGTTATATTACATTTGATACTTTCTCAAAGTGCTTTCATATATATCATCTCCTATTCTTTAAAATGATACTGAATAAAATTTTTTAAAGAAAAAGGAATGTAAGCCTAGTTTTTCTTAAAAAAAAAAAAAAAAACACTTAAGTTGGTATTTCTTTACTACAAAGTGCACATTGCTGTGTTGCTGAGGTCTGTCCAAAAGAATGACCCCATATAATTTTAATTACTGAGTTCCACAGAATGCTTGCTTTGCTCGTGTTCCCATTATCCAACACTCAGCCCCTTACGGTCAGTGCCGGGAGCATGTGCTTTAGAAAGCGTGCAGCACCGCCGCGGGCGGGCTGTCTGTGTGAGCCGCTGTTTTGCAGGGCCTCGCGAGACAGCAGGTCTGGTGGAAAGACCACACAACCATGAAGTCAGGGGACCCGAATTCTAGCCTTGGCTCTGCTACTAGTTAACTGTTCTGAGATAATGGGCAAGTAACTTAATCATTCTCTCCTCTAGTTTCTTAATCTGTAGATAAATGGGTTTGGGGGTGGTATTGACAGTTTTCAGGTGGCACTGGGTGTCTGAAAGACCTGGACAGATCACTGGAAACTACATCAGCTGATACCCTGCCCCATTGGGAATTCTGATCTGGAATAAGGCTAATTCATTATTTTTTTAACTCCACCTTGGGGATTCTGTTGTACATCTCTGGACTAGGTGTTAATGATAATAGTAAGAGCTAACATTTATGATGTGCTCACCGTGTTCCAGGCACTTGAGCTAAGTCTCTTACAAACATCACCTTATTTAATCCTTATAGCAATGCTGAGACAGTTACTCCTGTTATCCCTGTTTGACTGTGAGGGAACAGAGGCTCGGGAAGTGAAGCGGCTTGCCTTCTAGACTGCCACTGGAGCCCGAGCTCTAACCCACCATCCATGTTGCATCCCTTACACTCAAAAGCTCCATGACTTTAGTTAATTAACATGGGCTGTGCCTCAGCAAAGTCAGCATGTTTTATTAACTATTTTGCCAGCCAATGTTTAATTGAATTGTAAGAAAATTTCTACTTTAAACCTTAAAATACTGCTTGTAAAGTGTCTCCACTATAATGACCTCTACGTACAGAGGTCATGTAGAAAAATACTGAATGAATTTCTTAGGGTCAAATTTTTTTCAGGCTGTATCTCTGAAAATCACGATGGAAGTCTGCAGGAAAATATACACAATTTTACAAAGCCTTTTAAGAAAATAGATGTATTCAACACAAAACACTGAATTTTAAGGTAGGAAGTCTACACTGAAATCATACTACCTGTACATGAAAGGAATCAAGTTGTGGCAGCCCAAAGGTACGTGTGTGTACACACACATACAGTTTAACCACTTTAGAAAATTGTCAATACCTTGTACAAGGGAATGTTCTCGTGGTATTTGCTTTGCTTTTAGACTAGATACAATTAAACTATTATTTTTAGTTTCTAGAAGTAGTTTTCTCTGCTTTGGATTCAAACCTTTTAATTTACATGATGTTTTTTTTAAGTAGAAGAAGGTAAAACCTAAATTATATTTGATAATAAGTTGACAGTGCCTCTTTAACCTGAACCCTGAGCCCTCAACCCCTGAAATTACATGGTTCAAGCATCATGTTGACGGGGTGTGGTACAATGGTCAATGCTACTTTTGACAGTATTAACAAAAATCAATTTAATTTATGTATTGAGCACCTACTGTAGGCAAGACTGAGCTAGGTGCTGCCCCCTGAGTAAGGCACAGTGCCCACCCCCACCCCTAGCATTACCGTTCAGTGAGAAAACCAGGGAGCTTAAATATACTCAGTAGTGTTTCTCCACGGCTTATTTTCAGAACTCTCGAGGAAAACTAGAACCTTTGCTCAAAAAGAAAAAAAAAATACTCTTGAAAAACAATTATAATCCCTTAACTTGCATCCCACAATGACAGGGATAAACTTAAACAGCAGCATTAATAATATTCTAAAGTTTTAGCTATCCTCTCCCCACCCTTAAAAGGCTAACTGCGAAAAGGAATTCAAGTTTATGGACATGTATGATGAAGAAGAGTGGCAGGGAAGAAGGCAGGATGACTGTTGGTTTTTATTTTGTTTTGTTTTGTTTTTTCCAATATCTGTGTATCCTAGACTGTTGGTTTTTAAATCCAAGCTCTATTCCAACCGCCACAAGGAAATTAACCTGATCACTAATGGCCTGTGCTGCAGCTGTAGGTGACATACTCGCAGGAATTGCCCAACATCTGCCAGGAATGCCCAGTACTGTCTGCTCTCTTCTAATCTTTCTCTTATCCTGGGCCTCTTTTGGAACAGCAATAAGAATCAAGGTTTCCTTTTGTTCTAATGAAAACTCAATTTCCTCCTTGGTCAAAGATGCCAAACTCTATTCAAAACATAGCTTCCCCCATAGTATTCTAGCCCAATTAATATAATCTCAGCAGTTTTAAACTTTATTAATATCTGATACTCATCAAAGAGGGGAATGAAAAACAATTAACAACACTGCACTAAAGAGCTTTCCAGAGACGCTCAAAGAGATAACTATACACTTATTTGGAAAACACCTTTGAGAACATATACTGTTACCTTTATTTACTAGATTAAGAGATGGGGCTGTGGCTTGACAGTGGATCAATGACAGAGCCAAGAAGGAAACTCATTGCTCGAAGTTGAATTCCTGTCTTTCTAAGCTAATATTCCTTTGAGGAGAAAAAATATATTATGTATTGAGTTCTTCTTGGGGAGAGAGGGAGAAGTGTTCATAAAGCTTTAAAAAGTGAATGAAGCAATAATTGAAATTAGACCTCATACCAAGAACATTAATAATATCTAACCCATTAGATTCATTTCCATGTGATCCTAATTTAGCTTCCATAACAATAAATGAGAAGGGAAGGAAAAGGCCTATTTTTCAAAGGCAAAACATATTTGATGGTTAAGTTATTAAGTTTCCAGGGTCTAACTGGTGCTCCCTGAAAATGATCTACTCCTTCAATTATGCATTCTTAAAATAGAGGTGAAATGGCAAAATAAAGAATATTACGAAAGAGAGGAGAGAGAGAGAGAGAATGCCTCTCCCTACTCTCAACCTAGATGGGGCTTAAGTTGATAAGGAAGGGAAAGATGCAGAGAAACACCATTAGTTTAAAGCCAGCTTCTCCTCTCAGTCCCGGGGCTCTGGGCCTGGCTGTTGGGTTTTAAGGAAAGACCATCCCCTGGTACTTTAGCTGATAAAGAAACAGACAACTGCTCCAGTCATTGGCCAGTATGTCAGCATGCATAGGCGCTGTATCAGAAAAGGGTTCATTCCCCAGGAAGAACCTGTACGGACCACTATTATCAAAATTAATGTTGGTTAATGCCCTGAATGCTACCAGGAATAAAGGAAACAGCCTGCCCAGCAAGGGACACAGAAGAACCACTAAGGAGACCTCCCTATACTATGGTTTACAGATAGCCACCAACAAGCAGGAAGCTGATCCTGGCCCATTAGGAAATAATACACTAGACTGGGAGAAGTGACTTCTGCTAATCAATATAAGATTTAGGAGGAGGTTTCAATCTCCCTGACTAAACTCCTCAGCATTCTTTATTTCCTGCACCAACTAATACACCAATGGAAAATAGGACAAGAGCATACACACAGGGCCACATTTCCCAGTTTTGTTTTCTAGCAATTTGATTTGCAGTTATTTCAACAGCAATGACTTTGTGGAAGCAAGGCTAACAGCTGCTTCCAACTGCCTGGAATACAACCTCTCTTGGTATATTACCAGCTTTCCTTTTTTCTGTCCCACCAAATTCATTAGGTAACCTGGAGCATAATCAACATCAGTACCTACCAGAGCCCCAGTCAATTCCCTTTCACGTGGTGCAGAATGAGTGGCAATCCACTGTCTGGGCACAGCCCCTGAAGCCTTGCTGAGCGCGGCCCTGTCTAGCACCTCTCATCATTCCATGTAGGGATGGGCTGCATTTCTTTATGACACATACGTGTTCCCTGATTCTCCAGTGCAGTTTCCAACCCGTCCACTACTGCCTTGCCCCCATCTAAAATTCACCTCTCTTATACTTATGTGGTTTGCTTTTGTTATTTTTGAGATGAACCTGTAAACGTGAGAGCTCAGGGATCCGAGGTACTTCACATAAAGACACTCAAGTGTCAGTCTTTCATTTTCTGAAAACAAGAACACAGGAAAACAAGTCCCTCTCCCTCCCCGCTCAGAAACCGTGCGTCTTCCCACCAGGCCAGCAGCAGCTACCTCTGCACGACATCGCTGATTTCCTGTACGCATGACAATAAGTTATTAAGGACAGGGTTTGCCCCGGGCACACCAGCAGCTGCTGAGGACACCTGCAGCTCCTGCAGGCTGAGTTCCAGTTTGCTCACGGCCTGGCGGAAGGCAAATTTGTTGCGAGTCTGAGGGATGCAGTCCACGTAGCCGGAGCAGTAGTCGAGCAGCTGGTGGCCAGCGTCTACCAGCTGGCTGTTGGGCACGGGTTCTGTGATGGCACTGGACAGTAGGTCAGCACACTCCAACAGGGCCTCTTTGCTGATTTTGTCTGCTGAGATTTTCTCAGTTGCCTGTTTGGTTTTTCTCAGAGCCACTTTAGTACCTGCTGTGCCATTGGCCATTCTGGCTGGCGAGGGGGAAGACGCGGGCAGAGGCACTTGAGGTGGAGGCACCACTGGCCTCCCAGCTTTCCCGCTGATGGGCACTGCCCCTGGAGCTGCCCTTTTCCCTCCTTCCTGTGTTTCTGACGTGAGCTGTCCTGCAGGTGGGGCAGTCGGCTCTTCCGTAGGGTCTGAACATATGGACGGATGCTGCAGCAGTCTCATCACTGGAGGCGGGGGTGGGGCACACTTTGGTTTTACCCGTCTGGGCCGGTCCTTGTCTCCAGAGGATGTGACCTGATGCTCAGATAAAAGCTTGAATTTATTCCCCTGAGAGTCTGTGCCAATAAGCTGCACGTCAGCTGGAGTGTGCTTCAGAGTGGGCGAGATAAGGACTGGCACTTTGTGGTTGTGAGTGGTTGGGAGGACTGCTGCAGCCTTGGCTGGAGAAGACCAGCCCAGCTGCTCTCCATCCTCTGGGACTCCAGCCATCCCAAGTCGTGCCCCGCCATTCCTCTCCTTGTCCTTGGGGGCAGCCGCCACTCCAGCCACTCCCACCCCGGCAGAGTCCTTCTCAGGAATGGCTGGATCCCCAGAGGGATTTCTGAGAGGAAGAGCTGCGGCTCCTCGGGGCAATAGTTTGGCTTTTGGTCTCTCCCTGGTTGGAGCAGCACCTTCCTCTGATTTTTTTGGAAGCATGTCATTGGCCCTGTCCACATTCTCTTCTGGCTGAGAAGAGGTGGACACTGTCCTTTCCAGCTGGAGTTTGGACCTCTGGCAGTTCCTGGGAAGGGTCATTGCCATTCTATCCTGCTCTGGAAGCCCTGAGGACATGGAAGATGTAGAGTTTGACCTTGGAAAAGGCTTGGAAGTGTCATCACTGGCTGTGGGTTTACCTGCTCGTAAGCCTAGTGTCTTTTTGATTAGGCGTGGTGTAAAGAAGCCTGTGATGCCAGACCACCCCCCCCCAGCGGTGCCATTGCTCCCACCCCCACCCCCATCGTCATTACAGAGATTCCTCTGTGCAAAGCTCCCCCCATCGCACTTGGGTGGCACCAGATTCGCCTCTTGCTGGGCAGGAGTGAAAGAGAACCCATCGGCATGCTGTAGAGAAGCAACAGATGAGAAGTTACCCGTGAGTTCATATTTTTTGTGGGGCTGATTCTCCATTTCTCGGAAGGAGCTGCTGCGTTTAGGGGGTGTGGGAGCATTTCTCTTTTTCATGAATGAGCTGAAGAAGCCTCCCTTCCTATCCCTGGTGAAGCATGTCTCTTTGGCATCTTCCAAGAGGCTGCTGGGTGACTTGTCTCTTTGCTTTCGAGGCAGCGCTGGGGACCCGCTGGAGACCTGTGCACTTCTGATGAACCCTGATGAGGAACGGCCAGTCAGTAATGTGGAAGACACGAAGTGAATCCATTACATGTGAGCTGCATTTGAGCTGCATTAAGACTGAATTATAAGAGTTTTTTTGGCATTTATTAAATGTCAGATGTTGGTGGGACTCAGAGGGAATTAACAAATACACTGTCCTTTCAAACCGGTTAGCTTTCCAAATGCGATGTGGGTTATAAATGGGGCAGAGCAACCTGCTGGTTATTACTCAGCATTCATTCTTTCTTTAAAAATTACTGCACAACCTGTTCTCATCTATCGGGCTCAATGAAGTTTTTGCTGGAACTGTAAAGGTAACTATCTGGGAATTGGGGGTTAAGGAAATGGAACTGGAGGCAGAGTTGTGTGTTCGATGGATAGATCAGGACTACTAATTGGCAATGCAGAACCAGGGACTAGAATGGTGGGTAAAACAGATGCCTTACTTTCCCCAAAGAAGATGGGCATGAAAATGGCATACAAGCATCATACCCCATGTTTCTTTCAATAAGGCAGTTTCTATTTTGATTCTATCTGTGTGGGGACCCATACCTGGTGCTGAACTGGAAGCAGAGTTTTCTATGACATCTTGTACCCCTTCAATGTTCTCCTTGTTCTCCTGCTGCTTCCTCAGTGTCCGAGTCTTGGAAGGAAGGACAGGTAACCGGGGCAGGTATGGAACAACAGACGATGAGGAGGCGGCCCTCCCAAGCTCCTCAGCTACCTCTGTGAAGACAAGGGAACTGATAAAAACAATTTTGTAACAGAGAAAAGGACATTTCCTTTTCAGAAAAGGCACACAGCAGAGAAAGAACTGGAGAGTAGAGTACTAAGATATATAAAAGGAATCATAAAGTATGTACTACTTTTGTGTGGCTTCTTTTGCTCAATGTCAGGTCTGTAGATTCATCCGTGTTGCTGCGGGTGGCAGAGTGCCCTCTCATTGCTGTGTAGAATGCAATGTGTGAATACACCAAACCCATCTGTCTTCCTGATGGGTATTTAGGTTATTTCCAGTTTGGGGAGTACAGATACACTGCTAGGAACATACTGCTATGTGGTTTTTGGCTCACAACTGTAGGCACGTCTGCTTGGTATAGATCTTGGAGAACTGGTGGGTCACAAGGTACTGTTTTATTGGGTCCTGCCAAACTTTCCCAAAATGACTGTACCAATTTACACTCCCACTAGCAGTGTATAAAAGTTCTGGTTACTCTGCATGTTTATTAAAATTTGATGTTATCATTTGTTTTTGTTTGATTTTAATTTTAGCTATTCTGGTAGGCATGTAGTGGAATCTCATCGTGGTTTTATTTGTCTCTCTCTGATGATGAGTTACGTTGAGCATGGTCTCATATGCTTATTGGTCATTTGGGTATACCTGTTTACTAAGTGCCTGTGCAGAGGTTGAACAAGGTGGACAAACATCTGCAGATATTTTGATTTTTAGGTTGTACCTCACACTAAGAAGGAGGGTAGGTACAATTCACTCCATTTCATGCAAACAAAGCAAATTAGGCTCTTGCAAAAGCGTTTATCCCATTTGTAAGTCTTAGCTAATTAAATCTTGGCCATGGCTTTTGTGGCTTTTACTGAAGCAAAGACATACTTTGCTATTCATTCCTGAGCAAAAATGAAACAGGTGGGATCAATTAAATCGTGAAATTTTGTGATTATTTTACAACTTTTTTGGTTTCTTTTGGGGGTGGGGGAAAAGGGTCTCACTATGGCTGCTCAGGCTGGCCTCAGACTCCTGGGCTCAAGTGATTCTACCACCTCAGCCTCCTGAGTAGAATGGACTAAGGCAAACAATACTGTGTCTGGTTCCTTTTTCTGGTAATTATTTTAAAAATTAACTTTCCACAAGAGTGGGTACACGACACATAACCCAAGCCAAGCTATGCCAATGAGGTTCCTTTCTTTTCTTTTCCTTTTTCTTTTAAGAGATGGGGTCTCACACCGTCACACAGGCAGAAGTGCAGTGATGGGATCGATCATAGCTCACAGCAGCCTCAACCTCCTGGCCTCAAGTGATCCTTCCACCTCGGCTTCCTAAGTAGCACCACCACACTTGGCGAGATTCCTTTCTTATGCTGCTATGCACAGCAACTAGAGCCAGACATTCTCTGTCTTTTTTGGTCCTAAGTTTTAAAGATATGACTTTAGGGATCCTGGCAACTGTGTCCCATTCTACTTGGAGGATTCTGAGGATAAGGTCAATGCAGAAGTAATGACAAACTAGATAAGGATGGGTATGGGAAGGAGGCGGAAGAAAAAAGAGAGGAAGGATGAAGACCCGAAGCTACAAGAGTTCTTCAGCTTCTGAAGTTAGCACCATCCCTGCTTTTCCATGGTTTGGTTATAAATCTTCCTTTTATTGCTTAGGAAAGTTGGAGTTGGGTTTCTTTCCCATAAAACTGATTCATAAATATACCCTTTTAATTAGGGACTGTGTCTTATCTCTGTGTCTCCAGGCATGGTATAGTGCCTGAGTCAGATTAAATAATCAATACAATCTGGGTTGAATGTTAAGTTTCTTGTTTAGCAATTTTGAATTGAAATTAGCTTAGATAGGGACTGGTTTTCTTAACCACTTTGGTATGAGTGTCGACTTATAGTAGACAGCCACAGATAAATGCGCACAGCGACTTTAGCTGACAGCCGTGATATGACTTTTCTAATTTTTCGTTTATCAAAATAAAATTGTGAACATTTAAAAATAACATAATGAAAACATATATGTATATGTTACCTATTCTGATTTACATGACAAGTAAAGCTGCCTGTGAAGTAAAACACGCTTTCAAGCTTTCCCTTATCACACGAGAGCAAGATGGATCTGTCGTGGTCAATGCGCACACAGCACAGACCGCCGTGCGGCTGTGGGCGAGGCGTCGCGGCCGTGAGCACCGGACCAAAGTGGTTAAGAAATATATTTTCAAGAGAAACAGAAATATTAAACTAAGGATTCAAGAGGAGTTAAAAATTAAAACAAAAGTACCAAAAAGTGGACCCTACTCTTTGGCTAACACCCATGGCTAGTAGCACTTTGACTCCATAGGAAATAAAGCACACAGAAGAAATAAGAATGTTGGGACAGACAGCTGTGCCCTCTCCAACTTGTAGAAGTTCCATGTATCAAAGGTCCAGGATGAAGTATTTTCATTAAACTTTAGTGTTATACTTCCCCTTTCCCTTTCCTCTTAACTAATAGGATAAATCACTAAGGGAAGTGGACAAAATCCAATCTGCCTGATTTTCTCTTCTAATATTTTAATACTTAAACTTAAGTAGTCAACTCTATTCGATTATGAAAGAAAGGAAAAATTTGAAAAATATATACAAAATTCCAGAACTATATCACAGTGTCTAATAGGCAGATGAAACTAAGAATTCTGTATTTTTAGTTCTCTAGGAATAGGCCTCTCTCTCTCTTTGTAACAAATATATTGTTTGACTTTTGCAGAAAATTAAAAGGCTTTATATACAAAAGTTGAGAAACTGGCTGTATGTATCTATACACTTGTTTTTTTAAATTAAAAAAAGGGGTTTGTCTCTATTGATAATTTAACATGTTTATTCTAAACAACTTTCCATGTCAATATATTTAATAATATTGTTTTAAGTATATTCAATTATATGGATATAATAATTAAGTTAACTAGATATCTAAGTTGTTCTTAATTTCTCCATATCAGCCGGGCACGGTGGCTCACGCTTGTAATCCTAGCACTCTGGGAGGCCGAGGAGGGCAGATTGCTCAAGGTCAGGAGTTTGAAACTAGCCTGAGCAAGAGCAAGATCCCGTCTCTACTAAAAATAGAAAGAAATTAATTGGCCAACTAAAAATACATAGAAAAAATTAGCCAGGCATGGTGGCACATGCCTGTAGTCCCAGCTACTTGAGAGGCTGAGGCAGGAGGATCTCTTGAGCCCAGGAGTTTGAGGTTGCTGTGAGCTAGGCTGACGCCAACACACTCTAGCCCAGGCAACAGAGTGAGACTCTGTCTCAAAAAAAAAAAAAAAAAATTCTCCATATTATAAGCTACACTCTGACGCAACACACTTATTTATAGCTAAATCTCTGTGTATACTATTAGTTATTTCATTAAGATCCAGTTCCAGAAATGGAATTTCTAGATATTGCTTTTATGACTTGGTTCTACCTTTGTATATGTGGTTGAGAGAGTTGGAATATTTTTTATATCTATTTTTTCTTGTCTCTTCCCTGATTTATAAGTATTGATATTTAAAGAACTACCTGGGCGTGGTGGCTCACGCCTGTAATCCTAGCACTCTGGGAGGCCAAGGCGGGCGGACCACTTGAGGTCAGGAGTTCGAAACCATCCTGAGTGAGACCCTGTCTCTACCCAAAAATAGAAAGAAATTAATTGACCAACTAAAAATATATATACAAAAAATTAGCCGGGCATAGTGGCACATGCCTGTAGTCCCAGCTACTGGGGAGGCTGAGGCAGAAGGATCGCTTGAGCCCAGGGGACTGAGGTTGCTGCGAGCCAGGCTGATGCCACGGCACTCACTCTAGCCTGGGCAACAAAATGAGACTCTGTCTCAAAAAAAAAAAAAGAACTACCATACCTGCTATAAAATAAAAAAAAAAAAAAAAAAGAACTACCAAACTTACTAATTTTCTTTATGGAGAGATGAATTTCTAATTAAAAAATAATTAGATTATAGCTGGGCGCGGTGGCTCACGCCTGTAATCCTAGCTCTCTGGGAGGCCGAGGCGGGCGGATTGCTCGAGGTCGGGAGTTCAAAACCAGCCTGAGCAAGAGCGAGACCCGTCTCTACTATAAATAGAAGAAACTAATTGGCCAACTAATATATATAGAAAATGAGCCGGGCATGGTGGCGCATGCCTGTAGTCCCAGCTACTGGGAGCTGAGACAGAAGGATCGCTTGAGCCCAGGAGTCTGAGGTTGCTGTGAGCTAGGCTGACGCCACGGCACTCACTCTAGCCTGGGCAACAAAGTGAGACTCTGTCTCAAAAAAAAAAAAATTAGATTATAATAAATATATGAGATACAAAGACACATTGAGAAATAGCAAAAAAAGCAACACAAGAATAATAAAGGCCCAAAATTAATTCAATATCTTGAAATGGAACCTCAAACTATAAGAAATAATCATTTTGAAATGTAATTACCATGATTACCACCACCGGCACCCAGAACTAGCCACCAACAGTAAATCCACCAGATTCTCACCTTCAGAAATGCTGGAGTCATGGAACATGGTTTCAAAAGCTTGATGCGTTTCAGCAAAAGAGGGCCTATCAGCAGGGCTCCACTTCCAGCCTATATAACAGAAGAAGAAAATATGAAAAGCTCTTTGTAGGAATTATGTATCTAGTGGCATACCTAATAATGAGTCCCATGCATCCTGACGTGTGCTTATTAAAGCAGAGTTAAAGCATGTCTATAATGATAGTGATGCAGCCACTTCTCAGCTCTAGCTCAGAAGTGTAATGAACCCATTTCCCAAGGCTGGTCCTTCTATTTATCCTTAGCTCCTATTCCCTCTACTATAAGGAGAGATGGGGATATGGTTTAGAAAATGGCAAGTTTTCTTCCACTTGAAAAATGAAGTAAAACCTGTCTTCAAACTCAGTCTAACCTTATAGATAATTAACTGTATATATTTAGAAATAAAACAGGATATCAGAAAGGAAGAGCTTAGAGTTCACATTTGACAAAGGACAGTAGCCCATGATCAATGAGAAAAGAACACAGTCTTATGTTCAAACACAACTCCTATGTAATTTATTGCTCACTTTCCTACTTTCTCACCTTCAAGCACTCAAATACTTCTGTTTATTCATCACAGAGGTTACTTTGGGGCATTTGCCTTAAGTCTTTAGCAATCATTCTTATCTAGTTGAAAGTAGCCCTCCCCCTACCTTAATCTCTAAACTATGTTCTTATTAAATACATAAATGTTTTTGAAAATTGGGTCAATATTTAGGCCATGAAAAACTACTCTTGGATTCCAGTTAAGACTCAATGGTATGTGGTATGAAAACTGGCTAATCAGTGACAAACTCTTTAAATGTCATAAGGCTAGATTCATTCTAACAACACTGAGAGGAGAAATGTTTCTAATTTTGTTAACTATCTGAATTGCTAGCTTATACTTTCAAAATTAAAATATGCAAAAATACTCACATGCTCTCATAAGTTCATACACCTTAGGGGGGCATCCCTCAGGCTGTTCCATTCGATATCCTTTTTCCAGTAGATCATAGACCTGAGACAGGTCAATACCTGGATATGGTGACATTCCATACGTAGCAATTTCCCACAACAGTACCCCAAAAGCTGCAAAAGGGATAAAAAAAAAATCTTAATGTTTCTTCTGTGATTTACTATTTATTTTATATAACTAATTCTATCTCAAATTTTGAATAACATTCACACACTGTTATTAATACAATAACATTAATATACTCATGTATCAATTTTTACAGCATGACTTGTACTTCTAAGATATCTGCCACAGGAATGCTGTAGATAATCTCAAGACAGTTCTATTTAAATTTCCCAATTTTATTTAGATTTCCTTTACTACAGTGGGGGAGAATAAACTTTGACCATTTAAGAAGCATGAGGCATAATCCAACTATTCTAGTCTTTGATCCACAGCAGTCGCCCCTTATCTGTGGTTTTGCCTTCCTATGGTTTCAGTTACTCAAAGTCAACATCAGACCAGAAATACTAATATTTTTTTTACTTTTTTTTCTTTTAAAAAATTTAGCTATTTTTCCTTTTTCTTTTCTTTTAATGGCACTACTGACAGCTGAACAGAAATACCAATATTAAATGGAAAATCCCAGTAATAAATAATTCATAATTTTTAAATTGCATGTCACTCTTGAGTAGCGTGATGAAATCTCAAGCCATCCTGCTCCTTACTCCTGGGATGTGAATCATCCCTCTGTCCAGCACATCTACCCTGTAGACTCTACCTAACCCTTTAGTCACTTGGTAACCCCTTCGGTTACCACATCCAAACACACTATATAAACAAGGTATATGTAGGCTTTAGCACTATCCTCAGTTTCAGGCATACATTGGGGGTCTTGGAATATATTCTCCTGAGGACAAGGGGGAACTACTGTATTTAATGAGTTTAATGGTTTTAAAGCTAATATTACAGGAGTAAAATAAAAATAGATTTACTTATAATTAAATAAAATTCACATTAGAAAAAAGAACTTGCTTGATTATGTCACAATTAGGTTATTTCTAAGTTTGAAATTTCTGGTTAAAAAGTGACTTAGAATCCTACTGCTATTTCTATTGGCCCACAATCCAAATTTGCAGACTTTTTTAGTCTATAAGCCTCTACACCAAGTCATACTGCTTCTCAGGGCAGTAGAAACAACATCAATTTACAAGGACAAACTCAAGATGAAACCTTATCATGCCTTCTCTGTAAAGAAAGCTCTGTGTCACAGAGCCCTGGAAATCAGCAACAAAACCTAATGTGAAAGATAGGGAGCTTTACAGAGAGAGGATCATTATAACTGCAATGCAATATGAGATCTAGACTGTGAGCTCTTTGAAGGCAGGGACTTTCTAAAATTTTCTTATTTATACTTCTTTCTACGCTAAGCATAGTACTGGCAGATAGCTTGCTGTGTGACTGAAGATGGATGAGGGTAAAGGCAGAGGATACTGAATATCATATAAAAGAGAAGCTATAAAGAACTAAGGGTATTTATAAAGAAAACAAAAAGACATACTCAGGAAAAAGTCCCTTTCAACCTTACCCCACACATCAGATTTAATTGAGAACGTATTATAGGCAAGACTCTCTGGTGCTGTCCACTTAATAGGAAATTTGGCTCCAGCATGAGCAGTATAGGTGTCTCCAGTCATCAATCTACTCAAGCCAAAGTCAGCCACTTTTACCACATGGTTTTCTCCCACTAGGCAGTTACGAGCTGCAAGATCTCTGTGGGAAAGAGAATCCTAATGTGAGTCCATTCAGATGGTGAAGAAAATGGTCATGAATGCTCTATTCTTACTTAGTTCTTTGTGCTACAAGTAGAGTTCATAAGTAAGTGTTCACAAATATGGTAGTATTTTATGATAATCACTAACATGGTAGAAAGCCACTGATTATATATCATTTATAGAGTACTCGTCTATAGGCAGTTATGTGATACCAAACAAATCAGTCTTTATAAAATGGGTTTCTACTTATAAGTACATTATAATAGGTTTCACAGGTAAGCAATAGACCAATGCTTTTCTACAGGCTTTAAGTTCTTTACTAAGACAGAAAGCTATTTTTAAAATTCAGCCACTAGATGGAGCAAAAAGATCTTGGATATAGTGCTGGACAAAACAGAGACATCTCTCTGTTTTGAGACTAGCAAAGGCCCCTCATTAATATTTTAATCATAGTACAATAAATTTACAAGTTGGAAATGACATCATAATGGGCCCTGTGAAATAGAGAACTACTTTTTCTTTTTTTTGACACAGACTCTCGCTTTGTTGCCCAGGCTAGACTGAGTGCCGTGGCGTCAGCCTAGCTCACAGCAACCTCAAACTCCTGGGCTCAAGCAATCCTGCTGCCTCAGCCTCCCGAGTAGCTGGGACTACAGGCATGCGCCACCATGCCCAGCTAATTTTTTCTGTATATATTAGTTGGCCAATTAATTTCTTTCTATTTATAGTAGAGATGGGGTCTCGCTCTTGCTCAGGTTGGTTTCGAACTCCTGACCTCAAGCAATCCCTCTGCCTCGGCCTCCCAGAGTGCTAGGATTACAGGCGTGAGCCACCATGCTCAGCCAAGAACTACTTTCTTAAATCATCTGAAAATTTCTGGAAAGGTTCTCAAATTATTCCTTTACATGTCAAGCAAGATGGCTTCATTGTTAGTCACAGGCAATAAGCAGGTCTTACACACCTATGGATGAAGTTCTTCTTCTCTAAATACTCCATTGCAGAAGAGATCTGAGTGGCCATGTAGAGCAGCACAACTGCAGTCACCTCTTCTCGGCTGCATTCTCGGAGATAATCAAGCAAATTCCCATATGGCATATATTCAGTCACAATGTAAAATGGTGGCTCCAAAGTACACACACCTGACAGTTGAAGAGTAGAGCTTGTTTTATTAGTATACATACATTCAAACACTCCCAACCATGCTGGCCAAGAATAATTTGGTAATTTTTTAGGTCTAGTTCAGCAGTAATCTTTTCCCTTCTTACCACCACATTCTCTGAAATTAATATAGCAAAAATTAAGAAGTTGGTTGATAAGGAATCTTTGCTTCCATTATATTGTTCTCCAGAAATTCATATGCCTTTGAGTATTTGCCTGTTTGAGCAAAAGCAAAGTTATCTGTATTAATTCCATAAGAGGCCAAGAAGACCAAAACTTCTAGAGTTCTCTACGTGCCCATCATTCTCCTCCTCGACTATACACTAACAATACTTAGCTGAAGACTATGTGAGCCCTGCAATAAAGCTTTATAAAAAGATTCTGTTTCCAGAGTCAAAGATATAGCTGATATATGGCAGATTCCTTACAAGAAACCAATGAGAAACTATTTCCTTTGGGACAGATTGGCTCAATATGAATATCCAAAGAAACTGGTCCTATTTTAAAAAGGTAACGGGATTTAGTGAAAGGTCTCTTTGTGAAAAGCCAATCTATCATAGCATAGCATTATCTGCTTGTAAAGGGTAAACTGATGGGTGTGGTCACAATTTTTAATTACTTCTTTTCAACAGTCCCTTGTTTAATGTCTCTTTATTTTGCAGAACTATTTTGTGACAGTTTTTGGCTTGGTACCATTTTGAACACATATGAAATTTTAATCTGGGGCAACTACCACAAACGGAGCAGTTTTATAAACCGAAATCAATCCAGGCCACTGTTTCTTGGGCAGTTTTTAAACAAAGAACCTCTTCACTAAAATGATAGCCATTTATTGAAGTGGATTCACATTTGGAGGTTCCACCGTGGTGATTCAAAAGAAGGATCTGGTAACAAAGGATTGAGAGGTAAGTATCTCTGAGGAAATGTATGGTTCAAGCAAGCTTCCTCACCTAACAGTTGCACCAGATTAGGGTGCTTGATTTCCTTCATCACTGCAGCTTCTTTTAGGAACTCCTCCACCTCCATGGTATCTTCCTATAAAAATGGAAAGGGAAGAAAGAAGAAGGAAAGGGACAAACCCCCGTCTTAATCATTTCAGGCAACTCACCATCCTAAAACATCAGCTCTAAAAGTAAAAAAGAGTATCTTTTGAATATTTTTGCATATTATTTTAAGAAATTTTATCACAACCTAATATGGTCTATAGAAATCCAACTAAGAAAGAAAAAATGCCCTTGAATTTATCCAATATTAGAAACTGGAGTAAAAATTAGCAGGATGATAAAAACTCAGCAATCATGTCCTGTAATCAACTGAAACACAGGAGACTTGGATTGGATAATTCAATTCTCTGATAGTTTACTTCTCTAGATATCTTAGCCTCTGAACAAGGAGAAAGAGCAATTAACTGTTTACATGTTTATTTTCCTGATTAGACCATAAGCTTTTTTTTTTTTTTTTTTGAGACAGAGTCTTGCTTTGTTGTCCAGGCTAGAGTGAGTGCCATGGCGTCAGCCTAGCTCACAGCAACCTCAAACTCCTGGGCTCGAGCGATCCTTCTGCCTCAGCCTCCCGAGTAGCTGGGACTACAGGCATGCGCCACCATGCCCAGCTAATTTTATATATATATATATATATCAGTTGGCCAATTAATTTCTTTCTATTTATAGTAGAGATGGGGTCTCGCTCTTGCTCAGGCTGGTTTTGAACTCCTGACCTTGAGCAATCCGCCCGCCTCAGCCTCCAAGAGAGCTAGGATTACAGACGTGAGCCACCGCACCCAGCCTAGACCATAAGCTTTTTAAGGAGCAAGGCATGTTTGCAAGGCTTCATATATTGTTTCACATTCAGAATATGCTTAATAAACAGAACTGATTACTACTCATAGCTGAAGAATAGCCCTTATAAGTGATATATACCAGAGCTACTGAGGCTCGGGGAGAATCTTCCAAGAATCCAATGAGTGAAAACCCTACAATCTGATACCAGGATACTTAAAGATGAGATAGAGTAACATCAGGAAAAACACTTCTGTGAATATGAAGAAGAAGTGATCTAATTGCAGAGACATGGGAGGAGCAAAAAAGCAGGGAGATAAAAGACAGAATGAGCCCCATGATTCTCTGACAATGCCCAAAGAATTCAATCCAGCAGGCTCTTTCTCAGGAAGCAAAACAGCTTGTTTTGCTTTTATAACTTGTAATTTGCTTCTAACCTCCCACTAAGATTTACAACAACAGCCTCCAGAGACAAGCCTTTCCCACACATGGGTTTCACCTCACTGCAGTGAATAATCTGCCCCTGCATTGCCAGCAACAGCACTAGAGTTAATCATCACAATTTGCTGATGCGCTTGGCACCAGGGGGTGGAAAGTGTTCCAAAGTTAAAGAAGGGCACACTGATATTTCCAAGTGATTGAGCACAAAAGAAAAAGATGCGTGAAAACTGTAATTCTCAGCAACCCACCTTCAGTGTTTTCACAGCAACTGTAAGGCTGTATTTCTTCCAGACACCAACGTAAACCTCTCCATACTGACCGCCCCCAAGTTTGTGCTTCATGGTAATATCTGTTCGTTCCATTTCCCATTTGTCATGGATGGGGGACACACCGTAGACTGTAGGCTTATTACATTTGGGTGCTGGGTAGTGTAGTGTTGTCACCAGCCCATCAGCCACTGTGGAGTGATGGTGAACAAGTTCTGCCAAGGTGCTAAAGCGACTCTCAGCAGTCACATACACCTGATGAGAAAAGGAGAAAAGCTAAACAACTTGAAAGGGGATCAAGAATTTTTTTTTAAGTCCTTATCTCACTGGCTAAAATATATAAAGATACTAAGTTTTCTGAATTGAGGTAAATAAAAATTCAATGATGATGATAAAGGGAAACACAGAACTTTAGTTTAATCTTATTTAAACAACTCTTCCTATTCTTCCTAAATTAAATTAGCTCAGCACTGGGGGAAAAGCTTTCAAAATACCTGTCTGGGCTAGGCACAGTAGCTCACGCCTGTAATTCTAGCATTCTGGGAGGCCCAAGCAAGAGGACTGCTTGAGCTATCGAATTCAAGTCCAGCCTGAACAAGAGTGAGACTCTGTCTCTCCTGAAAATAGAAAAATTAGCTGGGCATCGTGGCATGCACCTGTAGTCCCAGCTACTCAGGAGGCTGAGGCAGGAGAATCCCTTGAGCCCAGGAGTTTGAGGTTGTAGTGAGCTACAATGATGCCACTGCACTCTACATGGGGTGACAGAGTGAGACTCTGTTTAAAAAAAAAAAAAAAAAAAGATATCTGTCTGGATTGTCAAGCTCATTGGTCTTCGAATATTTTAAAGCAACAAGACAGTGGAACTCAAATATATACAATAGGGGCCAGGCCCAGTGGCTCATGCCTATAATCCTAGCACTCTGGGAGGTGAAGGCAGGAGGATGGCTAGAGCTCAGGAGTTTGAGACCAGCCTGAGCAAGAGTGAGACCCTGTCTCTACAAAAAAAAACCAGAAAAAATTAGCCAGGCATGGTAGCATGCAGCTATAGTCCCAGCTACTGGGGAGGCTGAGACAGGAGTATCACTTGAGTCCAGGGTTTTGAAGTAGCAGTGAGCTACAATGGTGCCATTGCACTCTAGCCAAGGAAGGCTACAGAGTGAGACTGTGTCTACTGAAAAATCACACACACACACACATGGTGAAGAAAGAGATGCTCTGGTTCAAGTAGGCAAGCAGAGACTTGGTTCTTGTAAAATTTTCAGAAATACCACCTCAGAATCTTACACAGAACTTAATTTGAAAACCACTTAATTTTTTTTGATAGGAGGAGGGTATTCAAATGTCATAATTTTTTATTACGATGTGCACTTGAGTGTCCAGGCCATTCTTTTTTTTTTTTTTTTTTTTTTTTGAGACAGAGTGTCTCTCACTTTGTTGCCCAGGCTAGAGTGGGTGCCGTGGTGTCAGCCTAGCTCACAGCAACCTCAAACTCCTGGGCTCAAGCAATCCTGCTGCCTCAGCCTCCCGAGTAGCTGGGACTACAGGTATGCACCACCATGCCCGGCTAATTTTTTCTATATATATGTTAGTTGGCCAATTAATTTCTTTCTATCTATAGTAGAGACGGGGTCTCGCTCTTGCTCAGGCTGGTTTTAAACTCCTGACCTCGAGCAATCTGCCCACCTCGGCCTCCCAGAGTGCTAGGATTATAGGCGTGAGCCACCGCGCCCGGCCCAGGCCATTCTTTTAAAAAAGAGCCACAATTTGATTTCAGAGAGCTGTTGACAAAATAGTTTTTAATTTATGATAAGCAACTAAGAAATATAAAGTAAGAGCAGTCTTGGGCTGTACCTCCCAAGGGAGCTTGTTATTTTTTAAAAAGAAAATTTTGTTTTATTATATACAGAAGTATGTGATTCATAAATGGAGAACTGGTGATTTTTTAAAATAAACTTACTCATGTAAATATCACCCACGGCAAGAATTACAACACCCCACATGCCTCCCAGCTATTTACCCCTGCAAAGGTGACCACTATTCTGACTTCTAATGCCTTAGATTAGCTTTGCCTATTTCTGAACTATGGACAAATGAAATCATACAATATGTATTGTTTGTGTCTGCTTTCTTTCACTCAACTTTTTTTTATTGCAATATATTTCACATGCCATAAAATTTACCATTGTAAGGTATACAATTCAGCGGTTTTTAGTACATTTACAAGGTTGTCCAAACATTACAACTATCCAATTCCAGAACATTTTCATCACCCCAAAAAGAAACCCCATACCCATCACCAGTCATTCCGACTCTCCCCATCCTCATCCAGGGAAAATACTAATCTCCTTCACTCAACTTTACAAACTTTTTTCTAAAGGGACAGATAATAAATATTTTAGGCTTGTGGCCATAAGGTCTCTGTCACAACTACTGAGTATTGCCTATTAATAAAAAGTAACCAAACAAATGGGTATGGCTATATTCTAATAAAATTTTATTTACAAAAGCAGGCAGCTGGTGGCTCATCGTTTTCCATGATGGTACTATGTGTGGCATTACTATATTCATTTCTATTGCTGAATGAGATTCCACTTTATGAATATACCACAGTTTATTAATATTAATAGATTCTACTGTTGTTATTAGATATGTGGGTGTTTCCAGTTTTTGGCTATCACAAAATATGCTGTTATGAACATTTCTATACATATCTTCTGGTACACATATGCACTCATTTCTGTTGGGTATATAACTCTCTTTTTTCTTTCTTTTTTTTTTGAGACAGAGTCTCACTCTGTTGCCCAGGCTAGAGTACCATGGCATCAGCCTAGCTGATAGCAGCCTCAAACTCCTGGGCTCAAGCGATCCTCCTGCCTCAGCCTCCCCAGTGGCTGGGACTACAGGCATGCGCCACCAAGCCCGGCTAATTTTTTCTATATCTTTTTAGTTGGCAAATTAATTTCTTTCTATTTTTAGTAGAGACGGGAGTCTTGCTCTTGCTCAGGCTGGTTTCAAACTCCTGACCTTGAGCAATCCTCCCGCCTCGGCCTCCCAGAGTGCTAGGATTACAGGCATGAGCCACTGCGCCCAGCCTAACTCTCTTACATTATTATTTACCTGATTCTATTTGGTTTAGTCAAGAGACAACATAGTATGTGTGTATGGTGGTACAAAAGAAAGAGAACTAATAACTTATTTCCTACTTTGTACCAGCCATTATGTTTTATAGAAATTATTTCATTGAATCCTTACAACAATCCAATAAAGTAAGATTCAATTATAGACAGGGAAATTGAGGTTTATATAAGGTAACAAAGTTAATAAGTGGAACGGTTACAAAACAAACTATGTCTGCTTGCTACAATGCTTATACTTTCTCCCACTATGCATCATCACACAGAGGGGAAGAATGGAAGAAATGATTCAACCTAAGTTTACTGTTCAATAGAAAACCAGCTGACACAAGATCATGCTTTATAGTTTATTACATATAACAGTTCCATTCTAACTAACATGATTGGTCCTTCCAATATACAAATTGCTCAATGACTAAATGATCGTTACATACATTAACGATTGACACCAGTCTCAGAAATCTAAATTCTTACTCTATAAACTTTCTAGTAGAGATTATTACAATTTTCTTTTTCTTTTCCTTTTTTTTTTTTTTTGAGACAGAGTCTCACTCTGTTGCCCAGGCTAGAGTGAGTGCCGTGGTGTCAGCCTAGCTCACAGCAACCTCACACTCCTGGGCTCAAGCAATCGTCCTGCTTCAGCCTCCCAAGTAGCTGGGACTACAGCCATGCGCCACTATGCCCAGCTAATTTTTTCTATATATTTTTAGTTGTCCAATTAATTTTTCTATTTTTAGTAGAAACAAGGTCTCGCTCTTGCTCGGGCTGGTTTTGAACTCCTGACCTTGAGCAACCCCCCTGCCTCAGCCTCCCAGAGTGCTAGGATTACAGGCCTGTGCCAGTGCGCCTGGCCAAGATTATTATAATTTTCAAAGAGACAAGGTTAATTTACAAATTCTATGCCAAAGTAATGGGTATACATTTGTGTACTGCTAATTAGAACAGCTAACTTATACAGTAGTTCCCTCATTCTTCACCTTCAAATTTAGCTTATCATTAAACTATTAATACAATACTGTTTTAAATTTCCATTACCATATCTTTTTGAAAAGAGCAAGCTCTAACATGCCAAATAGTCCAAACCCACAAAGTTAGCAAATATTTTATGTCAGACATAAAAACTATATTTCACTTCAGTCACTCTGAGTTTTATTTCTACAGAGTAGCCAGTCTACACCTAAAGGTGGTTACTGGCAAGTCTTACCTTGCCATCTGTGGTGGTATTGATCCTGTAGTGATACACACGCCCCTCATACCTGAGTGAGATCGACAGCTGCCCAGGGCTGCTCTCACTTTCCCGCACCAGGAAACTACCATTGATCAGACTGCTGAGCAGATACTCTGCCGCACTGCGTGACACCGGTCCATGGTACCAGGAATGCTTTTCCAGGCTGTTCACCGGGGTGATGTAGTTGCTTGGCACCCAACCCTGTCCATTCTTAGAGCGAACTTCACTCCACTCACCATTCTGATTGTAACCAAGGACTCGTAGCTTTTCACCTAGTCATGAGGTCATTACAGAATGAAAGAAAAGACATTAAGACTTTATTTCAAACTGAAGCAGTGTATTGTCAAATTTCAAACTCATTGAAAAATTAATCAGGAACTTTTATGTCAAAAAATGTTTTTAAATAATGAAAATAAACTTTGCTACTCCTCATATCCTGATTACTCTCTTTAGCTTATAGCTTAAACCACAGAAGCATAGTCAGAAATGGTTTCTTGGCATTTACTACATTTTTTTAAAGGTTTATACACCACCTAAAAATATCCTTAGGAAACTATGTATGGTAGTAAAATTGTATACAAAGATAGAAATGGCTGGAAAAGGACATAGTGTGCACTCTTCTAAAGAAAAATAAAATTCACTTTCCCACAAAAGTTTATAAAGGAATATATATATATATATATATATATATATATAAAGGAATATATATATTCCTTTATAAACTGTTTTGTGGGAAAGTGAATTTATATCTGGTTCAATGTTAACAACAATCAAGGATTAAGGATAAGACATGTGAAACACAAAGTTATTAGGCAAGTGAAATACAAAATTCACTTGGCATTCAGGCAACAAAATCATCCAAGTAAAAAACAAAAACAAACAAAAAACCATCACAGGCCACAAAGTTTTCAGCAAGAAAACTATTTGGGGGTGGGGATGGGGATGGGGATGGGCAGTCAGGACTCCCAAAGCACAATCCTTACCAGGACTCAAGTTTTAAAACAGTAATAGCTTTCTAATTTCCCTTCTATTCCCCACAGGAAGAATGAATCACTCCTTTCTGTTCCTCTAAAATTAGTATAAAATGGGAAGTTGACTCAGAAGTTGGAACCCAGAACCCAAGTCACTTAGTACATCTTTGCTATCAACTTCAATGTCCTTGATTTCTCTATTAAAGTTGTGAATATCAAGGTTAGTTAGACTTCAACATGCATCTTGCCCCTTATACTTGCAGCACAGATTAGAAGCTTCTTTGGGAAAACTAGAAAGCTGAAAAAGATATCCTTAGTAATAGATAAATGTTAATCTGAAGAATCCTTGTAGTGCCTTATGCTCCTATCTCTAAGAGACGCAAGCATTCCTATAGAGTCCGTAACTAATAATACTTCCTCAGTGTCAGAAAGAAGGAAGCCAAATCAATCAAAAGCACATGACCCAGAAATCATCAGGCAGAGGCTACTCAGGAAAAACCCAAAATAATTATTGTGGAAACCATCTATCTTTTTACAGTGGCCTCTAGAAATGTTTACCACAGGATAGCTTTCTATGAGCCCTACTCTCTCACCTGAGACACCTCGATATGAGACATTCAAAGAGAAGAATGAAAGAGTGTACACATACACGCACATGTTAAAGCAGACACACGTGCAGACACAGGAGTGTGTCGGGGAGGTGGCAGACACACATGAGTGCACAGACACTCGCCAACCATGTTCACAGGGGGAAAGGAATCTTGCTAGAAAAACTGAAGAAAACTTGTTGCTCTGTAGTTTTCTTCTACTAGTCCAAAAGAACTAGAAGTAAAAACTAAGTACTTTATATATTTATATATGTATTTTTTAATATTGTTGCTACCTTAAAAAGAACTAGTAATGACAGGCCATCATAATTAGGATACGAACACCCTAGTTTTCGTTTTCCTCTCTTTTTGGCAGTTTTTTTTATAAGGAGAATTTTCTACTCTCGAAGTTTTAACTACCATGGAAATTGACAGAGGTATGACTAGCAGAGACATAAACACTGGCCCCCCCAAAAAACAAAAAAAAACCTGGCCCAACTGGCAGAGGAATCCTAGGGAGAATTTTGTTTTAAAAATTCAAGCAAAATATCATCTTCAAAGAAAAAGGAACTAAAACCAGTAGTGTTGTTTTTTATTTTTAAAATATATTTTCTTGTCTTTTAAAATAATAAAATGGCTTTAACATGACATCACTTCATATTAAAAAGAACCTAATTTTAACATAAAAATCTTCCATTTTGTGAATTTTAAGAGACACAACTGTCGGCCATAAGATAAAGGGAACCCTAGCCCTTGAGCTGCACTAGCAGTTGCTATAACTGGTTAATGGAGGAATCAACAGACTTTCTTTATCAATAATTTCTTGGTGACTGAGCTATCTTGGAAAATACTAGTTCTTAGTGTTCCCTTTTATAAGAATTTACCACTGAAATAAACTACTACTCTCTTGAGACTATTACCATGTTTCCCCTAAAATAAGACCTACCCATAAAATAAGCCTGAGCAAGATTTCTAAGCATGTGCGCAACATAAGCCCCACGCCAAAAATAAGACCTAGTGATGGGTGTGGCTACGGAGGGCATCTGCACAACCATGCATTTCGTCACAGAGCGGTAAAGATGAGCAGCCCTTGGCCGGGCGCCGTGGCTCACGCCTGTAATCCTAGCTCTTGGGAGGCCGAGGCGGGCGGATTGCTCAAGGTCAGGAGTTCAAAACCAGCCTGAGCAAGTGCGAGACCGTACGTCTCACGATAAGTAGCGAGAATTAATTGGCCAACTGATATATTATATAAAAAAATTAGCGGGCATGGTGCACATGCTGTAGTCCCAGCTACCCGGAGGCTGAGGCAGAAGGATCACTCGAGCCAGGAGTTTGAGGTGCTGTGAGCTAGGCTGACACGGCACTCACTCTAGCCTGGGCAACAAAGCGAGACTCTGCTCAAAAAAAAAAAAAAAAAAAGATGAGCAGCCCTTCTCATCTGCCCCATTATGAGAGCTGACTATCCCAGAGGACCAAAAGGTGCGGGCAGGCCCACCAACAAGGTTGGCTCCCTCTGCAGGCTCCGGGCCATCTGTCATGCGCAAACTGAGACTTTGAGGGGAAATAACACATCCCTGAAAATAAGCCCTAGGTGTCTTCTTGAGAAAAATAAATAAACCCTGTCTATTTTATTTATTCATTTTTTTGAGACAGAGTCTCACTTTGTACCACAGGCTAGAGTGAGTGCCGTGGTGTCAGCCTAGCTCACAGCAACCTCCAAACCGTCCCTGGCCTCAAGCAATTCTTACTGCCTCAGCCCCCAAGTAGACTGGACTAACAGCTAATGTGCCACGATGCCCGGTAATTTCTCGTTAGTATAACTATTAGTTGGCCAATTAATTTCTATTTATAGTAGAGATGGGGTCTTGCTCTTGCTCAGGTTGGTTTCGAACTCCTGACCTCGAGCAATCCGCCCGCCTCGGCCTCCCAGAGTGCTAGGATTACAGGCATAAGCCACCACGCCTGGCAGATCCTGTCTTATATTCAGGGAAACACAGTACTATAATAGAAACCATTCCCACTAATCTTTTAACTAACCCATGTAAACAGGAATGACAGAAATTTAAGTTGTCTAGGCCAGTGCTAATCAAAGCTGGTCCACAACAAGATAAGAAGCTTATGCCAGAATGTTAAACAATGGACTACTATCTTCATGCAGAAAGTCTTGATCCAAAAAAATGAAATATTACCTGAGCTAAACAATAAATAGTATGCTTAGTGATATAGCTGGTTTACATTTTGGGTGCAAGTTCTTAATCTCATTTTTGATTGGTAATGCCACAATCCTCATATAAGTAGTCAAGCCCACAGACAATACTTGTGAGTAGCACTGGGGTCTGGCAACTTGACTCACTTAGCCATAGCTCACTTAGAACAGACGTATAGTAAGTCTTACCTTTGTGCTAGATAAATGTGCTGGCAAATTACATATGGTACAGAATTCTGAGAATAAGGAAAGTCTGAGTTTTTTCTAAGGTACTTTATCTCATTTCACCTTTAATAAACCCTAAAAAATAGAGTTATACTTTATAGGGCATTATCTCATACATAGGTTTTTTTTTAAAAAAAAAGACAATAGAACAAAAGTATCCAGGCCCACATTATCTAGCTGACTTTAGTTAGTGGCAGAAGCTAGAACAGGTACTTTAGTCCTTAACCATTAATGAAAACTAAAAAGTGAGAGGATATTACATACAAGTCTCACCTTTAGTGATACTGAGTGTGTTATCACCACTTGCTACAAAATCATAAAGTGCAACAAAGAGATTAGGGTCACTCTCAGTGGCGCCAAGCAAGTTCTCCTTGGAGCTCCACCTGATAGCTTCATTCAATGCCTGGGGTTCAACATCACAACCGTAGGGGCGATGCAAGGCTTCTGAAAGATATAACAAGAGAAAGGAATTCACAAGTTCAACAGCTAAAACTTCTTTTGAATTCAGTACATGCACAGTTCAGCTGCTGGCTCCAGAGTGAGACAGAACCGTACAGTTTGTGGAGTCATGAAGAATGAGCAAATAGGCACCGTGTCTCCTAGCATGAGGAAGCAATTTACTTGTTGAAAATATAACAAGGTAGTCAGAGAAAAGATGACAAAATGAGAGTTTAACCCTAATTTATATGCAATCACCAAAATCAGACATAAATGAAAAGGAAAAGCACAGTTTTCTCAAAATGAAAAAAAAAAAAAATCTCAAAAAGAAATGGCTACTACCTTTATAAAACATAAGCTATTTTGTTGTGGTGGTGGTGGTTTTAAAGAAGAAACAGTTATGTTTTATAAGCCTTCCAAAACCACTTTTCTTTCCTTTCTCTCTTCATAAAAAGCAAATTGTAGAATAGACAAGAGATTATTTTTCAGAACTATGTAAATGTTATATAAATCCAGGCCCTCTATTTACATGTAGAAAAAATTATAGAAATAGTGCTCCTGGAAAAAAAAACCCTAAAATTATCTGCAAAACAAAAGAAACCTGTTGCTTGCTTTAAAACAAAACAAAACAAAAAACAGAGGGGCCTCACCATGGTGCCCAGGCTGGAGTGCTCTGCCTATTCACAGGCATGATCCATAGAGCACTGCAGTCAGAACTCCTGGGCTCAAGCAATCCTCCTGCCTGAGCCTCCCGAGTAGCTGAGACCACAGGCTGTTCATTATTTCATCGGCAGTTTGTCTTACTCTATTTTGTTTTCCTGGGCAGTAGACTTTTGTAAGATATTAATAACTTAAAGTCCTAGAAAATATCACCATCATTGCACATTTATTGAGTTTCTACAATGTGTAGTGGCTGAAGCCTTATAAGGTCTGTTTCTTCCTCAAGTCCTTATAGTTCCTAATTCATACCACATAAACAGGTGAACCCTACACCATCTTAAAGATCACCTGCTTCTCATAGCCCAGGTTGATTATACAAAAAATACACTGTTCTTCTAGTAGTAATTATTCTTGATCTCTGGGGCTACTTTTAATGGTTGTCTGCCAAGACAAAGTGTCCAACTGCCTAGGTCACATGACAACATCTTTCTATTACGTTTCTCTCCCTCCACTCATTTTCAATGTAAAACTGGTTTTATCACATGTGAAGGGAAAAAACCTTGAATCTATAGTTTTCTTTCTTTTCAAATCCACTCCTTCTTTTCCATCTCTATTGCCAGTGACTTAGTTCAGATCCCCAGCATCTCTCACCTGGACTATTGCCTCCAGTCTTGTCTCCCTCAAATCCATCCTCCACACAGCTGGCAAAGTGATCTATTTAAGACAAAAATTTGACCACATCATTCTTCTTAAGCCTGTTCAGTAGTTCACCATCAAGCTACAGCCTCTTTATCATGACCTTCAAGACCTTTCATGATCAGGTCTCTGCCTACTTCTCCAGCTTTACTTCCCCCCACCTCAGATTGAACACTTTAATGTACACCAGAGGCTGCTTCCCATCGTTTGGACTTCGTTCACACAGTCCAGCCTACCTGGAATGGGTTCTCATCCCATGTTTCTTTTGACTGGCTGACTTCTACTCATAGTACTCAGCTCTAATATACAGAAGTCCCCTTTATCCACAGGGAATATATTCCAAGATATCCCCAGTGGATGCCTGAAATCATGAATAGTACTGAACCCTATATATCATGTTTTTCCTGATACATACCTATCTATGATAACTTTTAATTTACAAATTAAGCTCTGTAAGAGGTTTACAATAACTAATAATAAAATAGAACATTATAACAATATACCATAATAAAAGTTATATGAATGTGGTCTCTCTCCCTGTCTCTCAAAATATCTTAATATTTTCAGACTGGGGTTGACCATGGGTAACCAAAACTACAGAAAGAGAAACCATGGAAAAGGAGGGGAACAACTGTACTCTCCCCTAGGAAACCTAACATTATCCTCCTCCCTCTGACCTCAAAAGCATTACACTGGCTACATTAACACCCTCTATCTGTATCTCTGTAATATTCTGTATGTTTGTTTTCCAAACTTCACAATGTGCTTCCTGGAAAGAAGTTCTGTCAAGAGTTATATAATATCAAAAGAGAAGGAAAGAAGATAATACAAAATAAAGTTAAATTTTAAAAATATTTAAGAAGAGTTACATAATATGTGCTCAGTAACTGCTAGCTGCTGCTAAATGAATACCCAAATTACACAAAAATATAAGTGACAGGAAACAAAGAGATGTATCTTAATCTTAAAATCATATTGACCAAGGTTTAAAACTTAGCTTCATGACTGTCTAATGATATAGACAGAAATTGCTGTTGTAGGTTAGACCTATAATTCTCCTAACAGTTTTAGAGTTTCACTTTATCACATTCCTTCCTTCTCTCAAAAGAAATACATGTTTAAAATTCTAATTAAGTTTTGTTTTACATTAAGAATATCATGATAAACTTCAAGATATGTCCAGACATTCTGAAAATTTAAAGCATATATGTTGCTCCTTGTTTAAATGTAGTTATAGTAAATGGGAACAGTTGTATTATATACCAAGATAACCAATTTAGAATTACCAAATAAACAAAAATCCATATTATAAGAAACATTCTTCAAATTTTGTCTTTATTCTAATGAAAAAATTATCTACCCTAGCATAATTTCCACTGGGCTACAAAATGCCAACCCTTTACTAAAATGAAAAGAATTGCCAAAAACAAGAAGTACAGAAAATATCCATATTTATTTGTGTCCATACTGAACACTACTCAATCCACACTAAGCATTATTTTGCCACTGGCAGTAGTAACACATAACAATGGTTTGTAACTGTTACTCAATGATTATCAAACAGTTTAAGTATATATCATTCTTTTTAGATAGAGGAAGAATCTCCCTTTTTTGAAATTATAAGAGGAGGCCAGCCATGGTGGCTCACGCCTGTAATCCCAGAACTTTGGGAGGTCAAGGCAGGAGGATCGCTTGAGCCCAGGAATTTGAGACCAGCCTGGGCAACATAGTGAGACTGTCTCTGTCAAACAAAAAAGAGAAATAAAAACTCGACAGTAAGAACTTTTGTACTATCCATGACCAAGTTAGAAATAGTATTAACCAGACCCTATAGCCAACTTTTAAACCCTATCAGGATAAAAACAGCAAATGGCATGCATTTATGCCTTTGTGAAACTCAATATATTGAAATTTAAGGTTTACAAACTAGTAATTTCAGCGAACACCTATTTTATGTACAAGGCACTGTGCTGGGCTTCAGAATATAAAGGTAAGAAATTACTAATTAACATTATTTGGACTTAATATGCAAAACTGCTATCCACCCTTCCTTCCAAACTTAATTTTCCCACAGAATTCCCCAACTCAGTTAACAGCAATCCCATCTTTTCATGTGCTAAGGCCAAAAACCTTGGAATCACTCATAATTCCTTTCTTGCTCTCACATACTACATCTAATCCATTCAGAAATTCTATTGGCACTGCCTTCAAAAACATACCCAGAAGCTATCCATTTCTCATCTACCCTCTCCACTACCACCACCCTGTCACCACCATCATCTCTCAGCTGGATTATTCCACTAGTGCACTAACTGGATTTCCATGCTTCTATACTTGCTCCCTATTGTTATTCTCAACATACCAACTAACTTTTAAAGCATAAATCAGATTATGTTACTCCTTTGTTCAGGACTCTTCAATGCCTCCCCATTTTAAAGTAAAAGACAAAATCCTTAAAGGGCCTGCAAGATCCTTCATAATTTGTCTTGCTCAGTTCATCTCTTCCCTAGCTTACCTCATTCTCACCACTGGCCTCCGTGCTATCGCTTGAACAGGGCAGGCACATCGGCCTCAGGACCTTTGTACTGGCTTTCCCTTCTGCCTAAAACACTCTTCCCCATGACATTTCACTCAAATGTTACCCTCTCAGTATGGTATTCTCTGACAGTTCTGTTTTAAAGTGCATCTATTCCTAATGACACTCCCACATCCCATGTCTCCTTTCCTGATTTATTTCTCTCCATAGCTCTTATTACCACCAAACACACTGTATAATTTACTTGTTTTTATATTCATGTTTATTATCTAAGTCTCCACACTAAAATGTAAGTTTCACAAGGACAAGCATTTTTGTCTGTTTTGTTCACTTAACAGTAAAGCCAGAACAATGCCTATATTTTAAGAGGCTCTCAAAAAATATTCGCTGAATGAATGAATGAATCATGCATACTGCCATACTCACAGAGGATGCTCTGTGAGAATAGAATATAATACAAAACTCTGGAGTCAGGCAAGGTTTCAGACTTTAAATTGGATAAACATTTAAACTGGACGCGCAGGAGTTCTGCACTAATGACAGCAGAGTGACGGACTGTCAAAGTGCAAGGTCACATACGTCTTTGCTGAGGAGGGAGTCTCAGCCCAAAGGAGGATTGCTAAAGACAGGTCCGTGTCTTAAAAATCATGTTATTTGACAAAAGGAGAAAATAGAATGAGACATACAGCCCAAGTTTATGTAAATTTAAAAGGTATAAACAGGCCAAATAATGCTATATACTTCTGAAACATACAAAGTGATAAATGTAGGCTAAAAGTCATTTTTGAGGCCAAAGTACTTAAAGAACCACAACTTGGGAAACAATCCTTTTTATTCCCTACTCCCCTTCTTCCCATCTCTAGTTTTATGGTCTTTTTGGTTGAGTCAAAAGATCTTATTTCTTTCCTTTCTTCCCACTCCTCTTTTGTTCTCTCAGAACTGAGGGTCAATTTCCTGTACAATCCGTCTGCACAGGATATGCACTTAAACCCCATCCTACCCACGAGCACCAAACAAACGAACAGAAAACTTATTCAAAGAAAAAAATATCCTAACATTTTTCTGAGGCCAAGAATGAACATGTGTTGAATTACAAAGGTTAAAGAACTAAATGGGGGAGAACAAGCTAAGCGATAAAGAAAACCAAAATGAAACAAAAGCCTGTGGGAAGAGTGTAAGTGTCAAAGCATCACCCAGCGGGTCTAGTCTATGCCAGTGCCCTCACTGACTCAGACAGACACCGTCTGGATGGTTCAGATGTACTGCACCCGCCCGAATGCAAGTGTGTGGGCTCAGAATGTTTAATTTTTGAACAAAGTAAAATGACTAGTATATATTAGGTACCTTAGATAGCAAGCTAACTTATCTTCAATTAATCACTGCTATGGAGGTAGATCATGGACTTAAGATGAGGCAATGGGAGACTCTGATTTTCAATTACAGTATGTAAAGGACTCAGGTAACAGGTACATTTGACAATTAAGAAAAGGCCATTTTATTATTTTTTTCCTATTGCTACAGTTTCAGGATAAAAAAAAAAAAAAAAAAGCAAAACAGAAATAACAGCTTGTCCAAAGTAAATTATCACGATTAAACAAGTTAAAATCCCTAATAATAAAACTCAAACTTAAATTCATAGAAAATTCCTAAGTATAGTGTTTAATTTTATTTAAAAAATTTCACCAATTACTCATTCAATAACTTTTATCAGTTTAATTAGAAATTTGTCAGGTAGTAATTAGAGAAATTAATATACAAAATTTTCAGTTTAGCCATTTTCAAGTATTTTATAAACACTTACCTTGTCAGAATTTACTTTATCTGATTGTATACTCCCTAAGAAGCTAATAGCTTTAAATTCTCCTTTTAAAAACTATGACAGGTAGTCAGATAAATTATTCAGCAGTCCTCAATGTAGCCTAAATTCTTCACATCAAACCATATATATTTTATTATCACAAAGTATTATATATTATTCATATATTCTTCCATTCAATAAATATTTATTGAAATTCTATTATGAAACACCAGGAAAAAAGCACATAAACTTTCACTGACCAAGAATGAAAACAGTAACAGTAGTAGATAAGATTAATTTTTTGAAATCTCCACTCACACTTGATTAATACGGTCATCTAACCCTCCCCAAACTAGCCACTCTGAACCATACCTATTAAGTCGGGTAGAGCACATTCCGAGGCATCGCTACACAGGCAGCCAAGTGACGTGTCCTGATCTCTACCATAACTATTAGGTGGAAGCAGAACTGTCCCAAAGACCATACTTCTTCCCAGAAGCACAAAAGTTAAACTGTTCTATGTAAAGAGGAAGTCTTAGAATTCCATGCTCTGACAAGCAATACCACATGCATGTGACATTTACTCATATACTCAGTGGCCAGAGGAAACCAACGAAAGGGTAAGCATTCATAACTCCCAAAGTGGGTGGAGAGTAACACAAAGGAAAATGTCTAGTAATCAGCAAAAGACTAAGTGAGAATGAAGTTGGTTCAAAAACCCTGTAAATATTTTTTAAATATCCATAAATAAAATAAAAACTAACACATACATCAGTAACAAATAGTTTAATGATAAAATGATGTAGGGATCAGTACATATAGTTCTCATTCCCTGAAAAGATGACAAAGTAAGAAAATGTAGAGAAGTTTCCTTGGAGAAAACCTGTTTATAATAAAACACCAAATCTACTTTTAAAAGAGAGGGAACGCCTAGCAAGACTCATCTTTTGCATCACTTAAATAGTTCAAGAAACCACAATCCAAAGTGAAAGAAATAGTTACGATCTGATTCATAAGCACGGAAGCCAAGAATAACTACGTTCACTAACGTTTTGGCTCTATAACTTAAAGGTTAAAAACATGGCACATAGTGTTGAAAAAATTGAGTGTTACAACTTTTGAAAACAAAACCCAAATCTTTGTTAATTATATACGAACAAAGTTAAATAAAATTTAAGAAACTGAAAATGAGTACCTATGAGAATTAAACTAGTAAAATGTACAAATAATAGGTAACTTTAGTGGTATAATATATAAAAATAATACAAAAGAGTGTCTGTACCTGTGTAGCTGAGAACACTCATTGACTCAATAAATATTATTTATTAAGCATCTACTATGTACCAGCCACTCACTGTTCTTGGTCAATAAAAGTAACAGGATAAAATTATAGGATAGCAATACTGAAATAGCCATCAATAAAACTGAAAAATAGGCCAGGTACGGTGGCTCACGCTGGTAATCCTAGCACTCTGGGAGGCCGAGGCGAGCAGATTGCTCGACGTCAGGAGTTCGAAACCAGCTTGAGCAAGAGCAAGAACCCATCTCCACGATAAATAGCAAGAAATTAATTGGCCAACTAATATATATATAGAAAAAATTAGGCGGGCATGGTGGCGCATGCCTGTAGTCCCAGCTACTCGGGAGGCTGAGGCAGCAGGATTGTTTGAGCCCAGGAGTCTGAGGTTGCTGTGAGCTAGGCTGACGCCACACCACTCACTCTAGCCTGGGCAACAAAGTGAAACTCTGTCTAAAAAAAAAAAAAAAAATTGAAAAATAAAACGAGAGTTTAATTTTATAAGAGTAACTTTGATGTAGGTAATTATTAACAGTTTATAAGAATAAAGCTTATGTTTTCAAAGAGATTAACCTCTATAAAGCTAGTACTGTCAATATTATGGGGAAAGCAAGAGTTAAATGACTAAAGGTGACCTCAATTATGACTAAGAGTTTAATATTAGATTGAATTTCTCATTCTCTGGATTATTAAAAAATGTATGGGAAAGGAACTCCATAATCCCTGGTCTATCCATATGTAGATTCTATACCGTATAATTTATTATTTAACCAATAAATCTGCTATTTAAGCTACCAATATTAATAGTTACATCTTCAGTTGCTCTTATATTGTAACTGAGAGTAAACTCAAGATAAATGGATAAACAAAGCATGGTAAATACACACAATGAAATATTATTAAAGCCACAAAAAGGAGTGAAATTTTGATATATGCTCTAAAATAGGAACATTATGCTAAGTGAAATAGTTCTGCAAAAGGATGGCTGTATAATCTTGTGATTTAATGACACTGAAATGCATACCTAAAATAGGACCTAAAAACAGTGAAAATGGTAGATTTTATGTTATATGTATTTTATCATAATTAAAAATTAAAATTACTGAGGCCTCTAAAGACCTTTTGCTTATGTAGGTTATTTCTATCATTATTTACCATATTTGAAATTAAAACTGATAAATTTTAAGAATATTTTTTAATTCTATAACAATAAACCCATTATGTTAATATAAATAACACATTTAATTAACAAATAACTACTTTTCAAAAGAGAATTAAGAGCTAAAAGTAACATTTTCATTTTTTGCACATCTCTTTAGTAACAGGTTGAGGTAGGAAAGTACACTACTTTAATGGTGACACTAAAACTAAGGCCAGAAGCAAAAGAAGAATCTAGGCAAGGATGGGGGAGGGGTAGTAAAAGGAGGGAGCATTCTGGGCAGAGAGAATAAAGCAAGTGCAAAAACCCTGAGGTAGGAAAGACCGTGGTATGTACAGGAAATGAAAAGTATGGCTACCATTAAGGAAGTCAGAAGAGGAGCATGAAACAAAATTAGACAGGGGCTGATAAGATCAAGTGCTGAAGGATTTAAAATTCTATTCCAAGTACAATGGAAATCCAGTAATCAGTTTTAAGCAGTGAGGTCATATAATCTGACTTCTATGACTTCCATTTTTTAAAAGATCACTACTATGAGAGAGGAAAAAAAAAAAAGAATTACATGGAGAACAAACAAGAAACAGAAATGCAGTAGTTCATGAACGAGATCATGTTGGGGTGGAACAGAATGTGGCAGTGGAGTCAAAGAAAAGTGGAAGAACTTAAAGGTTTGGAGATGAAATTGATAGGATTACCTGAATCTAACAAAATAGAGAGGGAGAAAATAAAATAAAGAATAGCTGCCAGATTTTAGCCTTAAGTAACTGGGTAGGTGGCCATGTAATTCACTCAGAAGCAACAGTAGCACAGGCTGAGTATCCCTTATCTGAAATGCTTCCGATCTGAAGTGTTTCAGATTTTGGACTTTTTTCAGATTTTGGAATATTTAAATACACATAATGAGATTATATTGGGGCTGGGATCCAAGTCTAATCATGAAATTCATTTATGTTTCATATACACCTTCTACACATTACAACATTTTTAAATAATCTTCAGAACCATTTTGGTTATTTCACTACTGGTCAATAAATGAACAGAGTTCCATTATCAATGTTAAAAACTTATATTCCAGCTTAATGACAGACTCTGAAGGTATAATCTTTGCACATATAAGGAAGTCAGATTATCATTTTTTTCTCACTTGATATACAGAATTGTTCAAAGTCATCGTCTTGTTCATCATCATCACTAAGCATAGTCACACGCCACAGGCTCTGCCAGGCACGCACAACTGTCCTTAGTCACTTTGTTCCTGGCACCGGCAACAGCATACATGGCATCCTTCATGCTAAACTCCTTTCGAAAGCCTTCTACACCAACACTTCTGTTCACTGCTGCTAACATGCTGTTTAAGAAAGTGTTTTTTGTTTTTTTTTTATTTTTTTTTTGAAAAAGGGAAAGTGCTGGTAAAGAAAGTGTTTTTATATTCACTCTTCATTGACCTTAGGATACCCTGATCACATGATTGAATTAATGAAGTCACATTTGCAAGAAAGTACATGGCATAAACATTACACATGATGAGAATTTCAGCTAGGGGATGAGCAGAAGAGTTGTCAAGGAATAACAAAATCTTCCAGTCATCATCCAGTCCAGTTCCCTGTAATGAGACCGAGCCACTGGCACAAAATGTTTGTGAAACCAATCAGAAAAGATGTCCCCGTGAGCCTTTTTTTTTTTTTTTTTTTAAAGAGACAGGCTCTCACTATGTTGCCCAGGCTAGGGCACAGTGGCTGATGACAGGCATGATCATAGCTTACTGCAGCCTCAAACTCCTGGACTCAAGTGATCCTCCTGCCTCAGTCTCCTGAGTAGCTGAGACTACAGGCGTGAGCCACTATACCTAGCTGATCTATGCCTTTTAGTTAGCATAATAATGGACTGGTAAGAAATTCACACCTTGAAAACAGTAGAGAGGCAAGCTTTTGCCTATCACAGCAACTCTTAAGCATGCCTGCTGCACTAGCATATCCCAGCACAGTTATTCTGTCTGGGGCATCCTTAATTCCTGTAGAGGTTGTCTCATCATCTGTATTCAGTGTCTTTTTGGGGCAATAATGTCAAAATAATGATGTTTCACCAGTATTATAGACTTGTTCTGGCATCAGATTTTCATCAGCAATGACCGTGGCAAACACTTCAATGAATTTCTCAGCTGCTTTGTAATCAGCAGATGCTTTATCACCACAAATCATTAAAAACTTAATGCTGTCTTTTCTTAAATTTCTGGAACCAACCTGTTGAATATTCACAATTCCCTTCAATTTTTAGTTTGTCATTATAAATCTTTGCTTGTGTCATGATCTGCATATCATTAAGTGGCACAGGTTCACTGTGATACTGATGGATCCACTCTTTCAATATAAGATGGAAATTCTCATTTGTAGCTTTGTACAGTTTTTTTTCTATTTTTCATTAACTTCTGTTCATAACTTTCAGCACAGAACTTCAACAGTAATATTTCTGTTCCTTTAGGTCACATATGGTGGTCATTTCTATACCATACTCTTCTGTAAGACATTTCACACTAATACTGCTGTCCGGTTTCCCCAACAGCATGGCTTTCTGTGCTGTAGAGAAACATAAATGCCTTCCCGTTTTCTTATCACTAATACACACAGGGGTATCTGCAGGCCTTTTTGACATTTTTAACAATATCTTCACACCACAGAGCAGAGAATAAGTAAAAAAAACATAGTGAGTAATGCATGCAGGTCTTGGCCCCATGTGGGACACGTGGGAAACATGTTGTTGGTGCATCAGCCTGTACATGTGCCATTTTTATTACGCTTTGTGGGCATGATTGTTGGGGAAAATATGGGCATGCGTGGAAAGGACATATCACAGCTGAAGGGGGCTGGATCTTTTTTCCCTTGGGTATGACGAATAAACCGTGTTATGAGCCTGCATCTTGACTGCAACCCATCATCACATGAGGCCAGGTGCAGAACTTTCCACTTGCAGCTTCATGTCAGCACTCAATATGTTTCAGACTTTGCAGCAATTCAAATTTCAAATGTTCAGATTAGGGATGCTCACCTTGTATAAATTCCACCATAGAACTTAAATTTGGGAAATATAATTAAAGTACTTTAATATAAAAATCTGGAGCTAACAGGAGATCCTGGGCTGCAGTCATCAGAATATAAATGGTATATAAAAGCATGGATCTGGATGAGATCACTTAGTGAGAGAATAGTCAGAAAAGAGTACTGGATCATACTTATAGGGGAACAATGGTTCAAATCACTGCAGATTTCTCATATGAAACCATGGAGAATAGAAAAACATTATCTTAAGTGCTGAGGTGGAAAAAAAAACAAAAACCTGAAACAATCCAAAATTCTTTATCCATAGAAAATATCCTTCAGAAATGAAGATGAAATAAAGATATACTCAGTCGAAGTCAAAACTTGTTGCCAAATGACCTATTGTAAAAGAATTGTTAAAACAAGTTCTCCAGACAGTATGGGAATGATACCAGAAAAAAAAAAAATTGGAAAATAAATTTGATTAAAGAGTGAGCTACAAAAATGGTCAATATCTGGATAAATAAAATAGACAATTCTTCTCCTCTTGAGTTCTTTAAAATGTGTTTGATAGAAGCAAAAGTATAACACCATCTATAGGAGCCTTTATGTAGAGATACTATACAACTACAATACAGCGAACTGTAGGATAGCAGAGTTTCCACATTTC